CTTTCCTCCTCCTTGGTGCCTTCGTCTGCTTAATAGCTGTCGTCTTCCGCTGATTCATACTCAAGCCATTCTTAGCGATTATACGGCCTAAAAACGTGAAACTATAATCGCCAAAAGAGCACTCCCCCCTAGGTGCGTATAGCCTCTCATGGTACATTGCCTTAAACAACTCGCACAGATGCCTAATGTGATCTGCGTTCGATTTGGAAAATACGCAAATGTCGTCGAGGTAGACAACCACGAGGTTGAATTTATCGAAGAGGACCCGAAAAAGTTGGGACCAGATGCCTGGCTAATATGTCAAGCCCATTGGTGCAAGACAACACTGGAATGTCTCCTTATGAGTCCAAAAAGCCTTGTATTGCCGGCTGGGTTGGTTCAAAAGTATCTGATGCTATCTTTGATCAAAGTTTATGACAGTGTAGACAGCAACACCTGCCATTTGCTAAAGATCTCCACAATGAGAGGCAGGGAGATTTTTGGAATCTTGGTCTGACTGTTCAGGTGTCAATGATCGATAACCCAGCGAATAGGTTGCAATCAATTTCCATACCGATGCCACTCACCCTGGGTTGGAGCTTGTCCACTAACGTGGTACTTTTATGGTATACCATAAACGTTGGAAACCTACGGTAAATTTGATACTTCTTCCGGCCTTCCTTGAGGTTCTCGATCGAAATAGACTCGATGGCTTCCTGCTCCGTCTTGGACAAATGAAATGGGTTTCTCGAGCTTGAGATTGCATCTGTTTGCATCTTGACTTCGAACTGCGCAGCACGTGTCGTTGGGAGAAGATGAAGAAGCTTTTCGGGAATAACATCGCTATATACCGGAACAAGATCACAGACTTGTTGTGATGTCGCTTGTGGCGGCAGGGGGAACTTTTACCATATACTATTGACGCATTCGTTTCTTCGCACATGTATGGTCGCGGAGAGCAACTTCGTACAGGAAGTTGATCACACTGACCTGGCTAAGCCAACTAATGAGAGTTCAGTCTATCATAGTTAGCGTGAGCCTTTTGGTGTTGAATATATTTGGATTCCAGTCCACCTGCGGTGCGTAATCGCGATCCCACAAAAGACCAAAAAGGACGTCCTACCGGCACTTAAAACTATCTGTTGATATTATATGAACAAATTCTCTGTCACTCATCCGGACCGTTGCTGCGACTGTCGACAGATCATCTGGAGAGGTTAAAGAATTATAGAATCGCTTTAGCTGTTCCCGACGTTAACTGATGACTCTTTACGCTAGGCCAGGACAAATGAAATTTGTCGAAGCATAAATTCTAATAAAATTTCACAGGCACACCATCAATCATACCGCTTTTACGCAGCAAAGGTAGCTATTGAGCGACCACGTGAACTTCAATAGCGTTGAAATTGTACTTATCGAACACGACTCCGCTTTTTACTTCTTCTTTCGTCTCTTGCACACTATCGATCATGCCGATTCGACCATTCGTTCGCGATGCGATCCGGTTTTGTGGACTCGTCGGACATTCTGTGAGTCGATGTCCTAGCTGTTTGCAATAGAAGCACAATTTGCGCTAGAATCACTATTCCTTAGACACCACTTGTACATAATTAACTTTTAAAAACACTGATCGAGCATCTTTGAAGCGCGTACGCGGTCTTATTTCTTGTCGACAAAACAGCTGCGCGCGCCTGACGGTCCCAACGCCAAAATGCGATTGCTCAAAGTCAATGGCAACATTGATCGCTTGAATAAACGATCAAAATCGTTATACTCGACTTCTGCATAAGTTTGATGATTGAACCTTGCGTGAAATCGAAAACGGAGTCAAAATCACTCATTACCGGACCTGTATCGTCAGCTGTCGGAAGCGATTAACGGAATCTTCAAGATCCAGGCATTGAGCGTGATCCAGGATTCGGAGCTGGTAACGGAGGCGTGTCTTAAGATTTGCTGGTACAAACTCTTGCTCCAGATAGAAAAAGAGCTCATCCACAGTCGTGATCCTGCTTCTTGACCAATCAAGCCACTCCACTCCAGTACCAAAGAGCACGCTTTCAATGGTGGAAATTATCGTGGCTGCCGTCGTCGCACATTTCAAATGAAACGCCTCACTGTAAAGTACTGCTGTACTTGTTCTTTAAAGAGCGAAAACGACTCTTTCACTCACCCTTCGTACCGAAAGCCTTCACTGCGTCCAAATGTAAGCTCTTAAGCGTTGTGGCCTGAGCCATCTTTCTCTCATTTTTGTTGCTGCGGCACCATCGCCAACATGCGTTGCATGAGATCAGCTTTTGACGGCCCGCTCATGGCGTCCATACAAGCACTGTAACGTCCGTCAACAGCATTGGATATGTTGTGCTCTCGTAAATTTTGTTCTTTGTTATATGACGTTTTACTTTTAAGGGACGTTTGGAGAGTGCTTCATGCTCTACAGATATTTTGGCGGGGTCTGAAGTGCTATTATGTTTGAAAGTTGGTATCTCAATTCGTGTCGCTAAAGCCTAGATGCTGGCGAATCTCTGTGAGTGGCAGTTTGGTAGACGTCTCCTTACTGTGGTGCATGGGATGTGATACCTTGACGGAGAATACAAAATTGATTGCATTAGATCCTTAGTCTACACGCAAGCTGCTACTCTAAGCCTTCTGGATTATATGCGTAATTCTTTTTATTTCAAATGGGACTAAACTCTATAGGTTGCACAATGTGCTCGTGCATGGTCGGTCCGCGAACATTATAGAGCAGGATGGCACAACTAAGACGTCAATCGCGATCATAATGGAGCGGGATTGCACACCGTGCACGGATACGACGTCGAAATCATGTTATATCGAGAGCCTTGCACTACATCTACCGGGAATGCATGACGTGTGGTATCACGTATCGCTTGAGTACGATAACAACAACAAAAAGATTGAGCTTAGTTACAAACACTTTGCTTAGATTTAGGCCGCTAGATAATTATGGTCATTAGTGTCCCGCACTGTACCACCACTATTACTGTCCTCGATATCAGCAACCTGTTATGTAGCTGGTACGTGCTCCTGCTCGATGTCAGCACAGGATATGATCACCTTCCGTATCTTCTGTCGCCTGCAAATCTTAGTATACAAAATGGTAAACAATCCTGGAGACAGCAGTTATATTTTGCGGCTTGATACCTGGAAGTTATCCAGTGAAACACTATTTGCTACTACTTCTCCGCAAAGAACATGCTGGTTTGAGTTTGACCATTGTGCGTAAAGCTTGTAGTAAAGGTGATGAGAGTTGTATGATAAGAATTATCAGCGTCTCACACGCGTTCATGTAATAAGTTATCTTTTTCTATGTAGTCGTTGACGTGCGATATAGAGCGTACAGAAATGTGCCTTACATTTTGTGCCGCAGATACAACAAGCCATTTAGCACTTTGTAATTTGATAGGAGAAGTGGTCAATCTGATAGCGCTCACATCATGAAGGCGATTAAATTGTGGAGATCAATCCATCGAAAATCGCTGAGAATGATTTCTGATATCCTTGTTACCACCGAGACAACGTACACAAATCCGGGACCACTAATTCAATAGTCAATGATGTAGTAGGAGTATTACACCGATGGCAAAAGTCTGAACATTTCGCATGCGTAGAATACACTTCAAGCCGAAGGTGATAAGAAAGTGGTGCACTTTAAGACAGTTGTACAGCATTAAACGCCCATAAGCGATGCGGCGAGGAAATTTCAGAATGTGTATGCACAACTCGGGGTATGACGCATCGAGATTGGAACAGGGCGATTCTCAAAATCGTGATGATAAGCCTTACTCCAGCGCCGTATATTGATACGAAAAAATCCAGAACGTTTTAGGCTGCTTGCTTGGCGATAGATAGATGCACTAGCCTCAAGTCATGCGTAGAATTGCTAACAAAGATGGTAGCACCACTATGCTTCGGGCGAGCTGTTTGAGTCTTCAATTGACGAATCACTGCATTTAACGTTCGTAGATGTAATTGGAGCTATCGGTGATTGATAAGCTATGGTACATGATGTCAAGAAACGTCTGAATTTCGATCAGCGTTATGCATTTTCGTCTCTTATTTCGATGTCGTTGATAGTCAATCGCTAACCATACGAAGCTCACAGACAGTCATCAATAAGATAGAGGAGCAAGCTCTGAAACTCGACTTATAACATAGGCGATTTTAGTCCAGAAAACTAGATCGAGTTACTAAGATTCATGCAACTATATCGGGTAGTTGGCGGCGAAGGAACGGGTCGTGCAGATCAACTCGGTTGATGTCAAATGCACGCATCCTCCCTGATTGCCCTGGGTTTGCCCTTGATCGCTTTTGGACCAATCACGTGCGTGAATGGGTTTTTGTGTGCTTACACATTGTATGCAGTCGCAATTTTCGTGACCAACTCAGGAAGGACACCAATTATGCAGATCTATTCATGATGAGGGGTGAGGCTTCATCGCACTTAGTCTGACGTGTAAAGTACGTCCAGCGTTTCACACACATCCAGAGAGATAAGTACGTTTTCGATAGTTCGGCATTCACCTTGCGCACAGTAGTCAATTACAGCTTCACCATTCGGGCTCGCACTACCCAGATTTAGCGTCTCGGATGTAAAATTAGTTCACCCTTCTAAATCATCGAGTCCGTTGATGACAAGAGTGGCTGCGAACGATCTTTATCATGAACTGGATCAAGGAAGGTTTTAGAATCCGCAGATCTACTCGAGCGTGCTGCTGTATTCACATCCACAGGAGATCACCGAGTCACAGTAGATCGCTCGCAATTTGACATGAAAGCATAGTGTAGCGTTAAATGCCCTATGCGGTCCTGAACATTGTGTCAAGAGAGCTTACTGAGAAGCTGGCTATATATTACGCTTGACTAACAACGTGATCGTAAGTTTGTGGGTGCTGATGTACGCGCTGCGATAAAGTATGAAACAGCGCTCTCCTACTACATCGAACCGTCACATTCGACACGACGAGAACAAGTCCATCCGTCATCAGATATCGATTGTCCTTTTAGAGGTCCGTGGCGTGTGGAGCCTGCCTGCCTGCCTCCAAGTCATGGTTGTCACCATCCGCTTCACCGTCGCTGGCTATTGACAGCACGTTACTTTACGAACTCCGGCACCGTCTCCCCTTTGTTGACACAAGCATTCGGCTGCTGGTTCTAGCCAATGCAGCAGACAAAGCGTGTGGTATAAAGTCTCCAATTCCCACTCGTGAGTCCGTTCGACGTTCCCCATCTTGCTCGACCGCATGTTCTAGAGATCAGGGCATATCAGAGCTTTGGGCCGTCGATGGCGATCCAAGTTCGTGCAGCTGAGGCCTGGAACATGGTCGTCGGTTTGAGTTGTGTCCGTCCTATAGCTTTTCTTGGTCATCACGATGTGGTACGACAATCGCATCGACGGTCAGGTTCTCTCCGCCCATCATCACCACATCGTGTGCTTTGCTCCGCTACCCGCGCAGCGAGATCGAGCACAGCCACCAAGTTGTCCATCTCGTATCGATCCGGTGTCACCATCCAGAGACCGCAGTGATTTCTCGCGTTTCAGGGAATAAAAAAACTCAATTTGATCCCGAGAATCGCCTTAGCGGCGACGAGGCTCCTCACCCTTGGTCACCTGGCGGTCGGTCAGTAGTGAAAGGATCAAGACGATACCATCCAGCGACGTAACTACTTGCAACACGCATGTCATGTCGTTCAAACCCACTTCACACGATCTTCTCGAGCTCGAAACGAACGAAAGCCTCGATACTTTGATGCTGCACTAGTAGTAGCTGTAGGAAAGCCGCCACGACGACTTTGGATACCGAAGCTCCGCCATCGAAAAGGGCTGCTGTCGTCTGCCGTGTTCTTCCTCAAGATACGACTCGTGGACACCACAGCACGACGATGCAAATTATCGGTTTGCTTCGAGTAGATCATGAGGCAGTCTTGGTCCCCTCCAACCACCTAGCAGCATCCCACTCCATGTTCAGTCACTGTCGGACAGTTGCTAGGTTGGAGGTGGCCGCTTTCCACAGACGTGTGGCAGCAAACCCACACCAAGCAAAGACGTGCCACAGTGAGGACAATGTCTAGTCGACGATCTCGATAGCCATGTCAAGGCACGCAATAAAGCCCATGAGCTTTTACTAGGCACGTTGTCTCGTAGCTTGCAATGCTGTCGTCCCCAGCACATGCGTCTTTGCCATTTCACAGCACATCATGAGCTGACATGGACGTTGAGACTCCTTCTGGACTGGTGTGGAACCTGCTAGTACATCGACAATCATCCCTTCGTAACAAGGTCAGCTCCACGGTCCTTGCGCCCTGCTTGAAACCCCAATGTCACACATTGGCTTCTCCTGCTTTTCAATCGCTCCAGTATCTCACGTCCTTGAACCGCAAGCCGGAGTCTTCTCGATCTCCGACATCTGATCCGTGCAGCACCGAGCGTCAAAAGTCTCTGCATTCTAATCGCGACGTCATGAAAGAAAAACCCGCGGCTCTGTCCTTCCTTCCCGACTCATCCAAGTACAGCCACCTAGCTTCATGTCATCGAAGCGGTGCGTTCGTCACTAGCTGCAAACCAACCAGCTCCGAGCTACCAAGCAAGCCAACGGTGCTTCTAGATTTGTCAAGTCCACCATAACCCGGTCCAGTAGCCACGTCTAGCAGCTCAGTCGAGGTTCACCTCATCGACCTTTCGTCTCCTGGTCCAAAGGGTGACGATCCCCATGATGGGCCGACAATCACGTGACATCGCTCTCGATGAACAGACCAACCAACCGGTCGACCAGCCTCGCTCGATCGAAGAAGCTCTGCACCCAACTGAGCCATTCAACCAACCACCAACTACCCTCCCACCAACTCCCATCTCGTTCGATGATCCATCCCTGCACCCCCTTGGCGTCCAGTTCCTGCACCCGTTTGTGCACTGTACATGCGGAGCAAAGGATGGATACCCTCGAGCCCACTCTTGTGGATCACGGCAAACGCCCTTCTCCGGACGTTCACTTGCCAATGCGCTTCTGTCAAGTAGTCGTACCACCTCGCGCGGATTCAGCTCGGAAGAAACAGCGCGACACCAACCGGAACAACAACAGCGATGAGGACGACACGGATGATGGATATGACGATCGTGCGGCCTTCAACGAAGTGCTGGCAACGCGAACGAAAGTCCGGGCCACGCCTCTCCCCTCCCGACAAAAGCCACGTCGGGACTTGTCCACGTCCATGATCGTCAACGGAGCGAGCTCGACCTCCGTCGCCATGATGGATCCCGGTGCCAGCTACGATAGTGGCGAGAGCAGCACCACGTACGAATTCACGACACCCAGCAGTGAGAAGTTCCTGTCTTGGAACGCCTACGGGGACTCACGGTATCAACGTCCACCGACGATCGAGTCCAGGCGAGACTCGGCGCGATGGAGTGACAAACGGGTGCACGAGCTCGGCTTAGCAGCTGCTTCGAAAGTGAATTGGGACGACCTTGACCTGGAACTTGCAACGGCATCAGCGGCAAGTGTCGGGAGTCAACAGGGGAGCTCCTGCGTCTGGAAGCCAAAGAAGTTCCGTCAAAGTGGCAGCACGGAGATGCAGATCTTTACTCGATCCACGGTCCGTGACCGTCGACATCAGACGCGATGGGGACCAAAGGGCTTTGCCATCTTAGCGGAAGCATCGTTGCCCTGCACAGTGCAGGAACTTCGACTTGTTTTCCGGGTCGCGTCTAGTGACACCTTTCGGGATATCATGCGGTGTCTCTATCGTCGCGAGTTTATCGACGGGGACCTCCTGCGCACGATTAACCTGCAACGGGGATCCAGTGGGGATCCCGCCCGAGCTTTCGGCGATCGCGAGTTGACGATCAAGACCGCGACGTTTGAAAGTCGCCATCGAGTGTTCTCTAAGAAGGCCTCGTGGTGCTTCCTCGAGCTCTTGCATCCTCGAGATCGAGCTAAAGAAGAGCAGTCATCGGCAAGACGAACAGCAGTGTCAACCCCACGTCTCGGAACCCCTCCTCGACCGGGGTTTACAAGGACGATGGTATCCGTTGCACGTCCAAGTCTTGTCTTGGACAATGGACGTCCCTTGCCGTCACGGTCTCAACTGCTGCTGCACGTTCCAAATGTGATCATCAACTACTCGTTTGAAGAAGACCCGAGTGGGCATGGCACTCGCGTGGTTTTCCACGGCGAATACGTGCCGCCAAATGCTCACGATGCTTTCAAACGTGCGGGGCATGAACGACGTTACGCTCGTCGTTGGATGCTTCGTCTTGCTGTCAGTTGTCAGCGGTACCTCTTGGTCGTTCGTCGACGTCGTCTTGGCATGCAAGTCATGGTCAATAGCACGTGCTTCTCAGCTGAGACGTTGGCTGCTTCGGCTTCGTATTGCGCTTATTGCTACCGCTCGTTCTCGAGCTTTTTAAAGCGCTCGAGGAAGCGGCTCTGCTGTCTCTGTGGCTTTGTCGTCTGCGACAAATGCGCGCATGTTCAAGAGCGTGAACACTGCGCACGGGGGGATGTCCGTCCACAGATTGAACAAGTGCGAGTTTGCGAGCGGTGTCTCCTCCGCGTCGATCAAGCGCGATACACAGCGATTACAGAAGACGACTTACGTCCCGCCCGCGTGATTCCTGACGTGTACTCGCCAGCATCTCGTCCGAATAGCACGCCAGGAGGAAGAGCTTGGACTGGCACTTCGAGACATATCCGACCGAATTTCCGAACTCGTCCAGCATCCCTGAACGGTCTGTTGCTGGAAATCCTAGCGGATGCGACTGCAGGCGGACCTGCGCAACAACAGCGCAAAGAGAGCGTATTGAGGGTCATGAAGGATATTGTGAACGAAGACCGTGCTCAGAGACGAGCAAGTCTAGCGAGGAGTCGCAGTTTGTCGTTAGGTGCAAGTGCTCGTGGGTTACCGCTGCAGAGTGAACGCAGTGGAGACTTGCAGAGCGAAGAAGAGAATGGAGATGACGACAGTTGTGTTGGTAGTGCTCGACGACGGCTAGGACGGAGGTGGGGAGCAGCGCCGTGCTACGAAGATGATTATCCGTTGGCCAACGCAGACTCGAGGAGCTACCGGATTCAGTTTCCAGACAACGCCGAGGAAGCGATTGTACCCCCGGTCCCGATCAACGAGCGCCAACGACTGCAACTCATCCGTGGTCAGCAGCTTGACGATCTGGGCAATGTGCCGGAACTGGACATCATTTGCTCACTGGCATCGAAGGAACTTGACTGCGCTATGAGCATGGTTACAGTTGTTGACAAGGCAAAACTGCATGTGCTGGCGTCCTCGGATCCGACAATCACAGCCGGTGAATCGTTCCCGAGAGCGCAGGCTTTATGCGCGCAAGCTATCCTGGACCGCAATCCGCTCGTGGCTTGCCATGTACAGGCAGACGTACGTTTTAGTGCCATGTCGATTGTCCGGAAAATGGGGATCAACTTTTACTGTGGGTTCCCACTACTCGGGTCCGACGGCGAGACTGTCATCGGTTCCGTTTGTTGTGCTGACCCACAAGGTCGTAGCCTGACTCGATCGCAGTATTCTGCCATGAGCAGCCTCGCAAGCACTGCTTCACGTGTCGTCCAGCGTATTGCTAAACAACGAGCAGTGCGTGAAAGCGTCAAAGCTTAACTCGGCCATGGCGGAAACTATCATGGACGAGTATTGCCATACGCAACATTCACGATCACAACGTAGATAAGTCGAACGCCGTCTGGATATGTGCAATCAAATCATGCATAGCACGCAATTGTACATGTTGTGGCTGGGTTAGACAGCGCTTTGTATGCGTGCGGAGTTCATTCAGTTCATTCACACTACACAACTCATGTCTTTCAATAGCACCAACGAACGTGCAGCATCCAGACTCTCGCTCCACGTACTCTGTTGCTCTTCAGCTATTCCGTCACCACGACTGATTGCGCTAGCCAGGCGAACGAATGTTCGCATGATAAGCATCGCCCTTTGCGGCACAGAGCCTTGAAAGGCGTTGAGCACCATTTCGCCGTAAGACACAGTTCCACGCGGGAAACTACCTGGAAGTCCAGTGAGCTGCTGGAAGAAAAGCTGCAGTACCAACGTTGCTACCAAAGCATATTGCTGGTTGCTTTCGATCGTGCGTGCCAACTGCTCGTCCAGCGTCACTACCGTTGCCTGTCGGTATCGAAAAATGATCTGACGCTCTTTCTTACGATCCAGTTTTGGAAGCGGCATACTCAGAGCCTCCGCTAGAACAGGGACATGAGCCATGAAATCGCTGAGTGATCGACGACCAGCAGTAGCGAGTGTCCACAAGCGTACGAGGGCACTTGCAGTTGACTGCGGAAGGCCCGACTCGAGGATTCTTTTGTTCTCATCGCTTAAGATCGTCACAGGACCAAACGTTCTCTTGATCTCATTTTCTTCGCTACCACCAGGAGGCGACAAAGGCAGCACGTCTTTCATTTCGAGACTATTGCTTTCGGCTACAAAACTTGTGACCAAAGCTGTCAGATCGACGGCAGACGATTCGAGCAAGTGCACCTCCAAGAAAGCAAGCTGTTCCATACCAGCAACATCCTTGGCGACCACGTGCATCGATAACTTGTTAAAACCTCTTTCCAGCAGAAGCAACGTCGAAAATTGATTATCGAAACGGTCTTCGAACGTCTTGCGCAGCTCGCGCAAGGACACAGCGTCTCCCCGTAGAACACTCGACAGCGCCTTAGTCAGTGCAGCCGAGTACACGTTAGCAATCTTGCTTTCTAGATATGCCACCATGCCGTCTGTAAAGTCGTCGTCACCTTCCAGATCTTCAACGGCTGGAAACCACTTCACTAGAAGCTCAACGATTTCCTCACGTGTCGGCACGATCGAGACTTGAACGGACGGTGCTCGACATTCACTATCGTCGTCAGCATCTCCGCCCTGTTTCGCTCCTCGTTTCCCTTTCTTGGCCTTTCCCACCTTTACACTTCGACCTCCAGCCTCTTCTGGGTCGCGCTTCTTTCCGCCCTTGCCACGCTTCTCTTTCTTACCGACGTTCCCACCAGTCGCCTCCTCATCCAATCCACCACCTTCATCAACCTCTTGTCTACTTTCCCGGATAGCACGAACATTACCACCAGCACTCTTCTGCTCAGCTGCAGCACGAGTGGCTTTAACCCGTGCATCTTCCCCGAACTTTTCCATACACGAAGCAAAAAAGCCCGAGCTCACTGCAAAAGTGTCTGCAATCTGAAACACCTTCGGCTCGCGCCCCACCTTTGTCAACGCTGGCGACAACGCTAACAGCACTGCCACATCAGATATCGACAAGGCACTCGGCATCACCAACCGTACGTCCACCAGCGATTCCTCATTCACGGCAGCTTCGACCGCTCCTTCCATCTGCAGCTGCAAAGCCCGACTCACAACACTCTCTTGTAGTCGCACAGCATCTGGAAACCTCTTCTTGATAAAATCATACGGTCGAGCGACCTGCAGCTCCCGAGCGCGGGCGTGGTCCACGTACCCATTTTCTTGAAAGAACGAGTACATGCTCTTTCTCTGTGCTTCCATAAACACGTACGGCACGTACTCGCGCCCTCTCAACGTCCCCATCAGCACTTTGGACTGCAGCAACTCGGTCAGCGCCTCGTTTGCCACCGCTTCATCGACGCCAAACGACCGCAGCACGTCCGGCACAAACGCAGGACGTGTAACGGCTGCAAAGACGCCTCGAAGCCGCGCTTTTTGAGCCGTCACGTACGACTCCGTGTACAAGACATTGTCCCGTTCACGAGCTCTCAAGATCCCGCCCAGTCGAAGACGGACAACGTCCCGCATGTACTCCACGGCAAAGCCATAGTGCTGAGCCAGGTCCCCTATTGACGTCGTGCCTCGCTCCTGCAGCAACACGTCCGTGTCTTCCATGATCCCGTCTAAGTACGAGCTCGTCAGCAGCTCTTCACCGTCGTTCACCACGTGATACGAGTCCTTGTGGCCTCGGCTTCCTCGACAGAGCGCGGCTGCCTGCTTCTCGACATGCACACGGTCCACATCAATGAGTTTCTCGAGCTCCGTGAGGCTCACGCGGCCGCCGTAGAGCGCCACGTAGTCGGCAATCTCGCGCTGGACTCGAAGCGGCGTGAGAAACTGCTTGCCCGTGCGCGTGTGGATCACCTGGAGCTTGCCCAGTTGCTGCAGCTTGCGCAGCAAGTCGATGATGTTGTGGTCCGACAGCTTCAGCGCGGCCTCCTGCTGCTGGACAGCCGCCAGTTGCTGCTGCAGCAACGCGATCTCGTCCATGGTCGGTGGGAAATACAGAGTGATGGTTGTGCTCCGCAGTGAGTGCGGTTGTCACTCAAACGAGGGGAAACGAAGGCTGCGCAGTCTCGTCTGCGTGAAAATCGCCGAGCGACTCCTGCCCGTGGTGAAGCTGTGCAGAGTGATGGTCGTGGTCAGTGCGGTTGTCACTTGGGCGAGGGGAAACGAAGGGCACTCGCGTGAAACCGTACCGACCGCATTGTAACAGCCGATGGAAGTGCGGCTCGCGATGGCCGACGACGCGCTCAAGGTGTTTGTCGCGGCGCTGCACTGCCTGGCGCAAGTCGGGAAGGAGCTGTCGATCGAGTGCGACATCGGCGCGCGTCGTCTCACGCTGCGTGCGCTCAACGACGCACGCTCGGCCTCGGGCCAAGTGGTTCTCGATCGCTCTTTCTTTGCCGAGGCGCCCGAGAGTGGCGTGACGTTGCAGGACGTGGCGATTTCGACGTGCGAGGCGCTACGTGCGCGATTCCGCGGTCGCACACCTTTTGCTAAGTGTAAAGTGTTTGCCAAGTCGTGCTGCAACGTGTTCCGCACGCTCAAGCACGTCCAGAGCGTCCAATTGGCGCTCGTCGTGGACCAAGAAGCGCTCGATGAGAGCGATGCGAGTCAAGAGGAGAAAGTGTCCCAGAGCAGCAGCATTCATAGGAGCAACGACGTGGACGAGGTAGATCTGGACTGTCTGGCGCTGCGCTGGACGCTGCGCTGTGCCTTTGACATCACCAAGACGCACGTGATGAAGGTCCAGTCGTGCCAGATCATGCGCGCCGTGTTTGATCAGCACGCGTGCCCTAATCACTGGCGGACGCGGCAGCACCACTTGAGTTCGTTGTTCGCGCACATTCATCACAGTAGTGAAGTGAGCGTCACGTGCTCGCCTACTCACGTGAAGTTCGAGAGCTACTTTTCGAACGTGACTGATAGTAAAGCGCAGTTGCAGACAGAGACGGCCGTGGAGAGTGCCGAGTTTAGTGAATACGTGCTGCAGTCGGCGACAGAGTGGAGTGGGAGTGCGCAGTTGATCTTTTGTATCAAAGAGATCAGGGTGAGTGCTGCTGTTGTTGTGGCTGTGATTAGAGATCGACGAGGAGGAGAGAGGGGGAAGGCTGATAGTTTTGGGCTGTGGATGATGGTACCAGGCGCTCCTGGCATTCTGCAAGACAAGTGACGTGTTGGAGGTCTCGTTTTACTATACGACAAGTGGGAGGTGCGTGAGGAGTCCACATGGAGGGAAGAGTGAGTATCTGCGTTCGTGCGAATGGATTGTCTGATTCGCGTTGTTTTGTGTCTTGTGTTGAGCTGCGCAGTCCCGTGTTGTTTGCAGCCGAGTCGACGTCGATGGCCAAGTTCTCTATTGAGTTGACGCTGTCCACAGTCACGACGTTCGTGCCGGCATCATCGCAGTCGTGCAACGAGGAAGAAGTCGCGCTGTGCGTGAACGAGTGAGTGCACCAATGAGCTCGTGTTGCGGTAATGGTAGTGCTAGTTGTGCTTCCTATCCTGACTATGTTGCTTACGACTGTGTTCCAGCACCACGACGATCAATGCTGCTGATAGTCAGACACTGTCACAATCGCAATCTTCATCGCAGGAGAATCCTCGATATCTGACCCATAGTAAGCGTCCACGGGTGGACTAACAGCAGGCAGTCAAGAGCGCACGCAAATAATGAAGTCAAGCGTTGTTACCCCGAGGAATGACGTCAAGACAAGGTAAGCCGGCGCCGTCCCTCTTTCTCTTTCTTTCTGTTGCTTATTGCTCTTTTTCATGCACGAACCAGCTCTCTCCGCCCAAGTCCGCCGTGCCTTTTGCAATGCTCTCGAAGGTTGGTGACTTGTCAATCACCTCCCACTCGTCGCCTTTGGCGCTGCTGCCGGCCTTGTCGTCGCTCTTCTGCTGTTGTTTTCGACGCCGCGCTACGACGACCCCACGCGAGGGCAAAGGGCAGCGAAAGGGCACAAACTCCGTGCTGGCCACGTCGTTCACGGCATCGTCGTCGATGTTCTCCTTCTCGTCAGTGTCCACACCGTCGCTCTCGCTGTCGGAGAACTCGTCGCTGAGTGCGAGTTCGCGCAGCTTCTTGAGGTCGGAATGGCGCTGACGCAACGGCGACGCCAACGCGTGGCTACACGTGGGCGACAGGCGGCGAGTCATGCTGTTGTTCAGGCTGCCAAATGCGTTCTCAGTGCCCTGCAGCGACACTGCTGCCATGATGGCCAAGTCAAGACCTATCGCTCGATTGCTGCCGTGCAGTCTGTGGTGCTGGAGGAAAATTGCCGAATGATGGAAAAAGCTGTCGAAGAAAGCGAGAGGGCGTAGCACTTGCGACTTTATAAGATCCACTCGGTTTCAATATACCACCGTTGTCTGGAGTCGACAAGGCCAAGGTAACAACGAGCGGTGTAATCCATATCTGTCGCGATATGTTCCTTCCACTTTGATAAGCTGTGGAGACTGCCGTGGACGTTTTCTGTTCGTGACTGGTGGCGCTACGTCGAAGAAAAGTCTTCATACAGCGACAAGTCTTTTTCGCTGCGAGAGAGAGACGTGATCCACGATGGATGTCGTCGATACGTTGCAACGACCACTGTGCTGTTGTCCATAGTATGTGTGCTGATGACAGACAACTTTCGACAGCGCACAAAAATGCGCAACTGTATTCTTGGCGACCAGGCGATCGTGGTCCCTGTTGTTTTTTCGACGACAAGAGCTTTGATGTTTTGGTTGTGATAGATGGGACGAGTGTCATGTCGCTCTGTGCATCCATGTCTTCGTCTGCCGGAAACGTCGACGATGTCTACTCACTACCACTCGCAATGACGATAAGTGCAAAGTATCTACGGCACGACTTCGCTTCGATGTTGAAGCCTCTAGAGCCAGCAGGCTAAAGGTTACAGTGTCCTCTGATTGATTGACAGCATCGTCTCGTAACTTATCTGTGGCATTTGGACGACGGCGACACTGGGGCTTTGGCGTTTTTACTTGATCGGCTAGATCTTTGCGAACCTGGTCGATGCTCGTCTTCAGCTCGCAACATGCGATCTTGGAGAACATACGATATTGAGGAACCACCAATGCACGCGTTTTACCGAGATGCAACACCGCTCGTACTCTGACAAGAGAAGTCGTTGAGGCACTAAACATGCTGGCAGTATCCGGAAGAGAACATGATCTAGAAAGCTGTACATGAAGTGCCGAGCGATGTCCTTTGTTACATCGACTTGGCGAGAGCAGTGCAATCTTCACCAGGATGATGTCCGTTCGTCTAAAAACATCGTGGAGCAGAGTCCGACCTGAGTAAAAGCAGTGCCACTTTGCGCCACTCAACCGGCTGCAAGACGTCACTTGTGGACATCAGGAGACCGATCACGTCTGAGCATGGACTGAGGGACGAAAGAGCCGTGCGTCTTAGCATGCCAAGACCTTTTTCTGGACTCGGATGCGTCGAACTGATACAACACATTCCTTGTCTGAGTTGACGGCAGATGGCAATGACAGTCTAGAGGGTATTGCCCTAAACAACCAACGCAATTGTCAAGAAATACTGCAGTTTCCTGCGGCTGGGACCCAGATGTCGATAAGCAGTCTCACGCATTTGTCTGCCTCAAAAGTCACTGCGCTCGGTAGGTCAGCGTCAACTCAAGCACCATACAAGCTCTCACACACATACACCCGTCGATTCAAAGCAAAGTGCAGCAACACCAGTTCAGCTTCTTCGAGCTTCCTAAAACTACCGAAACAAGCGGCAGGTCCAGCTAGCCAGCGATCGAAATGTTCTGAAGTTACGTGTTGATGAGCTTTTCAGCCATAGACAGCTGCGCCTGCGTGAGTCCAGACAGGTACGACACCATGAGCAGATCCTGGAGGCCCGTGTTGAAGAGCTGGTCAAACTGTTCCGCGCGTAGCATCGGGATCGCTGCTAATGCGTCGGCAATCTCTTGTCCAAGCTTCGCGTCCGCTGTCTGCTTGCCAGTAACCACGTCGCTTACAAATGTGCTAGCGTCGTCAATGCACTTGTACAGCTGTTCCATAGTCTCCTCGAGTGCCTCCAGCTCGTTCGGCAGAGTCCTGGCTTTTGTTTCACCGTTCTTGGGTGCCATGGCGTTCACTATGAACACACGCATGAACAAGAGGATACACAAAGAGCACCAAATAAGCATCATGCGCTCTACCATAAAGCTAGAAAGAGCTTGAGCGGCGACGTACGGGCAATGACCTCGGGCTCTGACAGCTTCTGGGTCACTGGGATCTGCTTAAACTGATGGACAAGCGTCGTATCCACGACCTCAAGGGGGGACGACACATAAGCAGCCACGTCCAGCGCGTCATCTTTTAAGTCCGTACTTAGCACCAAGTGCACAGGCAGCTCGCACACGGAGCTATAGAACTGATGGATAAGCGCCGAGTGGTCGTCGAGCTGACCCGGCCCGGCGGCGTACCAGCCCACGACCACTTCGTTCTCGTTCACGCGCTTGTGCAGCTCGTACATGTGCGTGTGGAAATCGCGACCCACTGCGACCTCATCGCCGTTCTCTAAGTGCGGTACTGCGAACGAGTCCGTGATCTCGACGACGCCGCTCTCGCGACGGCCAAGCAGCGTGCCAATCACACGCGTCTGATCCTCAGCACGACGTAGAGAGCGGTCTAGTGCCTGCAGCACGACGACAGGGTGCAGCTGGACGTTGGTCACGGCCTCCGTGCCCAGCAGCAAGAGCGGACGACTCATGAGGTCTAGTCGATGATGGGGCGAAGCGATTCGAGCGGAGCTGCTCGTGAAAAGGGATGATTGGCCACCGTTAAGTTCGCAGTCGGGGCGAGCGACGCGATAGAAACGATCCTCTTTTGACGGGGGAGTAGAAACTCGTAATTTATCATGCCCACCTGTGATAGATGATGCTGATGAACTGTGGTGTAACTAAAGAGTAACTAAAGAGTAACCCACGCACCACACTAGTTGGCGAGATGATGACCACACGAATGAAAGGGGTCGAGCGCGTCTTCCACCGGAGTATGCGGCGTGGCGCGTACTTCGCAGCAGGCAATGGCTCAGCGGTAATCCACATGCAGCGCTTCTCTTCACCGAGCACTGAAGCGTTTTCTGGGTCGAGTGCGATGCCTAGAAGTCACGCAACGCGCGTTTCTATCGCCATGACGTTGGCTGTGGGAGGCGCTTTACTGGCTCTTGCCGTTGATAACGAGGCCCAGAGCAAGCAGAACGAAGACGCGGAAATTGATGAAAAAGCAGATGGGTACACTGTGAATCCGATCCAGCATGTCGCAGCACTGCTGCGTCTGTACGAGCAGATTGACCAGAACATGAGTGTCTTTGCTGCGCGGATGTTGGAGGACCTGGAAAAGCGCGTCGAGCAGGAGAAGAAGGAACACGGCGGTAAACTGAAGCTGTCGCCGGGTCAACGTGCTCTTCAAATGAGTATGGAATTCGAGTCGACGCTGGAGAAGGTGCAGGACGCAGTCTTTCGCAACAATTACGTGACCAAGAAGCAGGTGCAGGAAGCCATGCAGCAGCTCGTGTCAGGCACGTTGAAAGGCGGAGGTTTGGATGGAAAAATATCGGTTGCTGAAGCAGAGACGATTGACGACTTTGTGAGGAAGCTTGGACGTCTGCGATGGAAAGTGACGGGCTCACGCGAGCCGCTGATCCGTGGCACAAAGGCGGCGCGGGTACGAAGTCGATTGCTGCTTCGACAGTCTGATTTTAGGCTTGCACTACTAAGACTGACTGACGCGTGTTGTATACTTGCTGCAGACGGTGCCAGGAGTCAAGCCTAGCGTTGAGGTATCGGCGGTGATACGTGTAATGGAGGAGCTGATCCCGTCACTGACGAGCGAGATGGAAACGATCGTTACGGAGCTGCGCAAGCAGAAGCTGACAGGTGTAGAATTCCACCACCAACTTTCCCAGCAGTACATCAAGGCGTCTGGAGTAATGACCGAAAAGATCTGCGAGAAGTTCGAGCTAGACCCGAAAGCTTTTCAAGCTGCGCTGATGTACTACGAAGACAATGCCTTAGTCGAAAAGGCACTGGCAAAGCTCGCTGCGCAACAGCAGAAGAGGTACGCGTTGGAAGTTTTTTTTTTTTCATTCAATGCGTGACACTGTAGGATGGTCTAACGTGCTCACTTTTCTCCAATTGATCTTGACGACTCCATGATAAAGGTTCAAGGAGCTTGGCTTGTAATACCTGACTACAGTACACAGAAGCACAATGATGTTGCCCAGACACCCATTACAGACCGCATCCTGCGACGTCACGCCATGCGATCGCTGCACATCACTACAGAAGCAAATTATGTGCCAATGACGCTCATTCGTTGCTGAATAGCATGAAAAACAACAGAGCACGAATCCGGTGTCTTCTTCATGTTCCTCCGTCTGCCGCAACGTCACTTTCGTGATCTTACGTGCGACGCATCCTGTTCTGTGCGTTGTTTTGTACAGTAACAGCAATAATCCGGCGCCACGGGTCACTCAAGCGCATCATCCGACAAAGCTGAACGAGCTTCAGCCTGCAGTCAAGCCTTCTCTCCAGCACTCGTGCATGGTCCAGCTCGTGCACTCGTTGCTTGGTCATGAGAAAGTGCCAGAGCTTGCAAACGCGACAGCTGAAGCTGCTATCTCCATTATTATCGATAGGTTTACAAAGACACGAATGGGTCGCGTATGTCTTCAATAGCCGGCGCGTGGATCGACACAGTGAACTACTACAGCGCTCAGGACTGCAGCAATTCTGCATGTGCTCGAGCCCACGCAACAATGACGCCGCTTTGGTGTCCCATTGCTTGTGCAGAGTGAAAAGCCGCTGCGGTAGCTCCGGCGGCGACGTGTCCTTGATCATGTACTGAATCCTGTTCTTGCTGCTGTTGTTGTTGTTGTTGTTGTTGCTGAATCGTGTCTGTAGGACAAGAGTGAGTGAGTGACGCAGCAATGCAACAGCGGCGGACTGGGCATATGTGACAAGTGGGGCGAGTAAGACGCACTCACTTGAAAACCCACAATAAAGGACTGAGATTCCTGAGCTATTGCGTGTCGTCGACACAAAGAAGGGTTACGAGGCAGAAAAAGCGCCCATACCAAACGCACAAAGTCGTCATCGTGGTTCTTGCTTGGCTTTTCTTTGCGACGTTGCTCGAAACAGCTGCGCGTGCCGCATGCTCTCTGTGTTGGAATATTCCATCTGCGATCGTACAAAACGATCCGATCGCGTTTGCGTCGACGACAGAATGACCGCCCACGACGTTACGACACGTACTTACCCTCTAAACAACGATAACGCAGTGTCACTTTTGCGCCGTCGTCAGTATCCGGTCCTAATAAAACTCGTGTTTCGACACCCGACGTCACAATTCGATTCAACACACAAAAAACAATCAACCCAACCACACCCACGGGCCGACCATCACTCTGCTTTCCGCATCGATGGACGCCGCACTGTGGGACCACCAGCGAGAGCTCGCGGCCGTCGCTCGCCACCGCAGCGTCCTCGTGAGCAGCGCCCAGCCCGTCGGCAAGTCGTTTGTAGGCTGCACACTCCTATGCGAAGCCGCTGCGTCGAGTCCGCAGCGCGTGGCGCTGGCCGTCGCCGTGTCGCCGCCTGCGCGCGCGCAACTGCAAGTGCAACTTGCCCGATTGTGTGGTCAACACATAATTTGCACCGACGACGCTACAGGCTCCAGCAGCTCGATTGAGGCGAGCCAGTGGCTGGACGACGACGCGCTCGCGTGCAAGGAACTGCAGGCAGCGCGCGGCCAGATTGCGATCTTTTCGCCGTTCGTGCTCCAGGAAACGCTCCGTCGCGGCAGCTTGAAGCTGACGGACGTGCAGCTGCTGGTGGTGGAAGACTGGGACTTGGTGCACGCGGAGCTGCCGTCGTTCTTCAAGCTGCTGACGGGGCTCCTGGATGCGCTGGCGCCACATGACGATCGCTGCCCGCGACTCTTTGCCACGACGCGCCAGTCGGCGTCAAAAATGGACTGGAACGTCATGACAAATCCATTATTGAAGCACATTCGTGTGTTTCAGATGCTGCCTGTGCTGTCATTGCCATCGTCGATGGCGCCGACGCTCGCGCCGTTGCAGTGCGAGGTCTTTTCGAGCCAAAATGAGAGCAACACAAAGCAGCAAACAAGTACGCGGGATTTCCTGCTTGGCGCGAATAGTAAGAAGATTAATTTGGTGAATGTGTTTCGGCTTGAACTGGAGCTTGGCAACTCGGCAGCTGTGTACGACGATCGCAAGAAACAGGATAAGGTCAACCGATTTATTCAGGATGCAGAAGCTGTGCACGAGCACTTAGGTCAATGGTGTTTGTGGAAATATGTCGAGCTGGAGTTGCAAGGCAACTTGCAAGCTTGTATTGTCGACGACGTAGACAATGTGAATAATCGAAAACGGAAGCAGCAGAGTGATGAGGCAGAAGTGGCAGATGATCCCATGGATGGAGAAAGAAGTGAGGACGATACTGTCCGGGAACTGGAAGTTGGCGAGGTAGACGACGATGATGTAGAAGATGAGCTGGCAAGTGCTGACGAAAGTGGTAATGAAGAAAGCAAGCTAACGAAATTAGACCGCCTGATGGCCAGGTTCATTGGTACTGGTGTCGAGATAGATGAGACTACAAAGCTGAAAATTCGACCAATTTTGAATGTCCTCTCCTGGCTGTCTGTACAGTTGAAGCTATGCGGAACGTCGGAAGCCTCGCCACGGTTAGTGAAGACCGCCGAGGTAGTTCGAAACCGCTTTAGGAATTCTCCAGGAGAGAAACGAATTCGAGCTTGGGTATTTCTCGAAAGGCGATGTTATTGCCGCGTCGTCGCTGAGTACTTGACCACAGCGTTGGCGGATCTAGGCATACCACCGAGCTGTTGCATGCTTGGTAGCAGTAATGCTCGTATATCTGGCGCGCTCAAATTTTCATCGTTTCTAAAAGTGGTGGAAATGTTTACAAACTTTGAGACGAAGATCATGGTGACAACGTCTGTTTTAGAGAGCTCGCAAAAGATGCGCATGGCTCCGCCACCGTGTGATCTGGTGGTGGTTATGAATGAATTGCTTGAAGCCAACAAGCTATATGAATTTGGTAAGCGTGCCGATAGCGTACAAGGTTCCATCAAGTATATTACCGATGATACAGCACTGGCTCGAAATAAATTTGATGTCCTTGTTTGCAAAATGCAGGAGCACATCCGCCTCGTGCAAGAAAATGAACGGGTGTACCCGTCGGCATCTCAATCAGCATTTACGGAAATGCGCAACGGTTTACAAACACCGCGTGCTCCAGTGGAAGCTGCAGCCCTAACTTATACGGGGTCTACTTCGGCTATGGTAGAAGCTGAAAGTCGAGCGTCGAAACGAGCTGAGCCTGTGGGGAGTGCTTACGAAATTATCAATCGCGACACTGGTGCTATTTTGAATGTGGCGAATAGTGTGGCGTGCTTAAGCAAATTCTGTGATACGCTACCAGGGTTGGATACGTACGATCGTCGCCCGCAGTACATAGTGAAGCGAATCTCTATCGTGAAGCACATGTCAGCATCGGTAAAGCGGTCGAAAAAGAGGCTTCTCAAGTATAATGCAAAACTGACGGATAAAATTGATGTGTTGAAAGCTGAAGCTGAGCAGCGGGCCATTGTAGCAGCTGAAGACAGCAGCGACGACAGCTCGGAGGGCGACGATGAACCATCAGCATCAGGTATTCGCCCCACTGGCATCGAAGACAAGCGATTTCATTTTTCTGCAACTCTGAAACTTCCAGGCGCATTGGGTATCAAGAAACAGCTGTTTTCGCAGCAAGTTGTAACGCAAGACGAGGCAAAGGGTATTGTTGCTTTCAAGGCGTGCCAAGAATTGGTGAAAAAGGGATTACTGGATCGGCACTTCCGTTCAAAGCTTATAGACGACCAAGTGGCTACGGTGCACGCCGACCAAATGGACAACGACATTGCTGGTAGCAAAAATGATACTGCTGCTTCTGATGACACGATCGTGTTAGGTGAAGATGATGAGGTTTCTGAGCGTCGGTCGCAACTGAATGATCTATCAACGCAGTCATCGTATGACTTACCCCCGGTAAGCGCGGTGGAGTTGAGTTTGCGACCGATTCGAAGCCTAGCACAAGAATCTGCCTGTATTACTGAAGAGGGCGAAGAGTGGTCAACCACAATGTGCTTCTACGGCCTAAGTGGTGCACGATACGCCATCTTGTCGACAAACGAGTTGTATACTGGCAACACTAACACAGGGTGGCGCTACGACTTTGCGACGAGCGGAGTGATGTCACCAGAGATCCAGCCAATTACGCTGGCGAAGAAGCCTTTGATGCTCACTGTAACAAGGCAAGAGTTGCACGACGCGCTTCACTTTCATTTAGTGGTGATGCGTCTTGCGTGCATGGGTGTACAAGACGCGGTGCGTGATGTCGATATCGCAGGCGATGAGGTGTGGAACGAGTTCTCCGAACAAAATGACAAGGGCTACTTGGTTGTTCCGAGCGTGTTGGATGATTCGACGCAACCGCCGACGCTGTCGCTGGACTGGGAGTATGTGCGCGAAATTATCAAAAATCCACTACTCGAGCCTATGTGGCCATTACCGGCGACAAATTCTTCAGAGGATGTAGCAGATACAACCGGCGAATGGATTTGCGTTCCGACACATCGACTCAATGCCAGCTATGTGGTACGAGCGCGCACTGATCGTACAGTGGGTGATATTCGTAAGGAGTACCTGGCAGACAAGGAAGCGTGGACGACACACTTGAAAAAAGGAAAATCGACTCCCGGCAATCCCATTCTAGGTCGTTGGTACACTCTTCAACAGCTTGAGGATGCTGATGCGGATCAGCTGTTGATTCACGGTGTCCAGGTTCCTCCGATCGTCCCTATTATTCGAAGAGTCATGCAGCGAAATCATAGCGAAGGAAGCATAGCACAGCCCAAAACCAAGTTCAACGAGCGCTTGCTAATCCCGCAGTACACATCACGTCTGCGTCTGACAAAGAGCCGCTTCTTCGATGCAATGGGATTGGTGCCACTTCTTTACGAGTTTGAGCGCAAGTGCCAGATCTCACATTTGATGGGGAAAATTGGTTTGGAGCTCGACATGTCACTGCTGGATGACGCCACTACGAAACCTGCGTACGAGCGTCTAGAAATTCTCGGCGATACGTTTCTGAAGCTTGAGACGTCGTGGTACATGTACGAGCAGCGAAAAGATATCTTACAGGAGGGGCAACTGACGCAACTTCGCCGCGACATCATCCGTAATGACAGGCTGAATCAGTTTGCACTAGCAGCTCGTCTGCACCACTACATTATGTACCCGGCTGAAGTGGAGCAGCATCCTTTCCAGTGCTGGAAGCCATCATGCATGGGCAAGACGCCTGATCCAGTGGTAGCACCAGCAAAATGGATCGCCGACGTACTAGAGGCGATCACTGGGGCATACCTGGTCGGCCAGGGAGAGAAGGGTGCACGGTACTTCCTTAAATGGATTGGTGTGAGCGTTCTGGAGCACCCGTTTACTTTCGCGAAGCCCTTTTACCCGGACTGCTTTCCAAACGAGCTGTACGACGCTGCAATAAAGTCGCGAGGAGTCCAACATCCACTGAGTCTAAATTTCAAGGTGCCACAATTTGAAGATCTGCCAAAGCGGCTTATGCTGCTTCAGCAACGATTGAAATACACGTTCCGCAACAAGCGCTTGTTGTTGGAAGCAGTGACGCACCCGTCAGTGGGTCAGCTCGTTCTGCACATTGACAAAATAGATGCCAATGACGCCGACGCGAGTAATGAGGACGGCGATGGTGCAGTAATAGCGCGCACGCAAAAGAAGAAGAAGACAGTGTGGAAGGGAGATTACGAGCGACTGGAGTACCTGGGCGATGCTTTGATCGAATACTTGACACTATCCTACGCTTTTCTGATGTACGACCAGTGGCTGCCTGGATCGCTTTCACAATGGAAGAGCGCAACAGTCTCGAACGATGCCTTGGGCAAAACAGCGCTGGCCTGCTTTGGCGTAGATGAGTGCATGTTTGCCGGTGCCGTTCGTATTGATCACGAGACGATGGAGCGTGTCAGTAATATCGGACGGAAGTACGCTCGTAACGAAGCGAGTACTACTTTGAGTCCAGCCTTTGAAGCCGTCAGTGTATCGAGAAAGCCACGAGCAAACGGCAAGGGTGCGTCGGCTAGTGCGAACCGACACGCGCTGCCAAAAATGTTTGCGGATGTTTTCGAAGCTCTTGTGGCAGCAGTGTTCTTGGACTCGGGTCGAGACCTTCAGGTGGTTCGAGATGTCTTTATGGGTCCGCTGCTCGAGACCGTGGGACAGGATGCCTACGCCTACGTTTGTCATGAGAGTGGGCTGTCTATGGACAACGGTTGTGATGCGTTGATGGAGGACTTGGTCTTTTCGAGTGATGAAGATGACGAGTAGAGGGGGCATGCTGCAATGATGAGGTTAGCAATAGCAAATTCGGGTGTGCAGGTTGTTGGGCTACTAATAGAATCGCTTGCAGGTCCGCTGAATATCTGCTCTCTTCGATCATCGTTGACGCGGCCGGCAAAATGTGGATGTTCACGCAGTGCTTCAAGTTGTGGTGTGTGCTGCAGGTACCGAGCAAGACGAGCAGCATACACTGCAGTTGATGGGGTGAGGCCAAGCTCAACTTGGCCTCAATGATATACTACCGCCACTTGTCACAGTTCAGAACTCGCTCTTTAGTCACGAAGGCGAAGCTCGGAAAAAGCTGCGACGTGGTAGGACTATTCTGTCGTGACGGACGAATGGTGGACGACGTCAAGGTGCAAGAGCTCGGGCGACACGCGCTGGACGCTGCAGCAATCGGTTGTTTGCAGAGCGCCGTGAGCCGCAGCGCATTTGTCGCTATTGACACGGAGATGGGCGGGATCTCGTGCCACGAGTGCGTGTACCCTGTTCATCACCCACGACGTGACGGGGCTCAGTGCTAAGCCTCTTTGTTCCTCCCTCTTTGTGTGTTGCAGCATGCCCCGTCCCAGTGTCATGGACTCGATTGATGAGCGCTACGCACAGTACCGAGCAAGCGCCAAGCAGTTCCCGCTCGTGCAGTTTGGGCTCGCGCTCTTCAGCTGGCACGCCGAGTCGCGGAGCTTTCACGTCGAGACGTACCAGTTCCCGCTGTTCCCACACTTCCAGGATAACAAGGGGGTTCACTCGGAAGCTGCGACGAACGGGACAGCAAGGGGAGCGTTGGCCTGTCCAGACAGGAGATTCTTAGTGCAAGCCAAGTGTCTGCAGTACATTCGAGCGCACGGCTTCGACCTCAATGTCTGGATTGATCAAGGGATTGGCCACTTGTCGCACAGCGAGCAACAACAGGAACCGTGCAAGTCGGCGCTGGCCAAGTCAGCGAGACCCGAGATCTTGAGACGGTTTGACCCGGGAGAACCAGCGCTGATCACGGACGAGACGCAAGTGTTCCTGGACCAGTTAACGAGCAAGTTGAAGCAAAGACTTGCGTGTTTTGACGACGAGGCTGAAAATGATCGAGCGACTGAGGCAAGTGGGGACGGCGTGCAAGACGATGATACTCGACGCCGTGGACGTTGTGGCAGCAAGAAGAAGATGGAGGAGAAGAATGGACGAAGCGAACGGAGAGACGGTGATACAAGCGATTGCGACGGTCGGACCCCGCTTGGCGACACGACAAGTGCGAATCGGAACGAGAAGAACAAGTCTGACGTACAGCCGCATGATGTTAAAGCAGATGCCAAGGCTGGACCGAAGGAGGACGATACTGAGGAGGAAGATGAAGAAGTGGAGGATGCTGGACAGCACAAGGCCATTAAGGGTCTGCAGCAAAGTGAAGAGGAAGCGAGCTCTGGTCCGGATGATGACATGGTTGTCACGATGAAGCAGTTTCTGCTGTCACCAGTGCCCATTGATCCAACCTCCAGCCCATGTGGTGTCTACGTGACTGAACCACTAGCACCCTTTCGTCGCCACGCCCTCGTACAGCATCTCCGTGAGATCCTTCCTCATGCTCTGGCACTGGATTGCAAGGTGGACAATCTGGACGACAAGGAAGTCGCACGGAATCCGTGGAAACGTCGTGTTCGCATCGTCCGAGCACGGTCCAAACGGCAGCAACAAGCGCTGGTGCTAGCCGACCAACAGCTTGCAGACGACGAGATGCGAGAGCGGAACCTCAGTCTGATTGGGTTCACGGCTGTGCTGGACGTGATTGCAGCCGCGCACAAACCGATCGTTGGGCACAACCTGCTCCTTGACCTCATGCATTGCTACGAGAAGTTCCATGGACCGCTGCCTGAGCAGTGTACCGAGTTTCAACGGGAGGTCCACGCGTGGCTTGGTGAGGGCGGAGGCATTTTCGACACCAAGACGCTTGTCAACAAAGCTATGCAGCAAAGTGACTCCTTTGCTGCTCATTTGACACACACCTCGCTCGAGCATTGCTTCGAGGTGTTGTCGAAGCACCCATTCTATGGTCCAGGAGTCCAAAGCGTGCAGCCAAGTCGAAAGACTGTTGCTGATGCAGCACGTGAGAATGGCGATCAAGTGCCGGATTCCGCTCAAGTACCGCTTCAGGCGCACCAGGCAGGATATGATGCATTCATGACGGGGTTTGTTTTCTTACGGGTGTGTTCCGGCCTAGGCGTATCGAATGAGTGCATGGCGTCTCTGGGAAAGTCATCACAAGGATCAAGTCCAAGTCGCATTGACAGACCACTCGAGAGGTTGCGAAACAAGTTGTTCGTGAGCCACTTCCTGCCCACGTATGTGCTCCATCTACCGGGTCCGTTTCCGCAACCCACCCCAACGCCATCGCGCTCTCGATTCGTCCGAATGAAGCTGACCCGAACACGGGCACCACCAGCAGATACGACGGCTTTACCGAGTGGTGGTGGCAACAAGTTCTGTCCAGCTTTGAAGACGTTCCACATCAAACATTGTGTAGGCTGGACACTCAATCTGCAATCAGCAACGAGGCTTTTGAACGTGCATTGGGAAGGACAGCAGTGCGTTTACGTCGAGTTACCGTCACCTGAGGCTGTGGAGCAGCTCTTGGCAGTACGCAGCCAAACCGAAGAGCGCTGGGGGTCGACGATCGACCCCATGCCATCAATCGGGTGCGTCGATTTGGATCGATGCCGTGCAACGGATTGCCGCGCAGAGATGGGGACAATGGCGACGATGTCGGTGCAGTCCACATATGTCGAGGAGAAGACTCGCAGGAAGAGAAAACGCTGCGGAATGGATTGACGAGACGATCTGCCGACGGGGTGGCACTGGACGTCACGTCAATGTGGGAAAAACAACAACAACGGATTGCAGAGCTCTCACGACCAGACTGTGCGGTTGATGCTGTCCAAGCAGGATCATCATCATTGCTCGATTTATGTGAGACTCTTGTGGATTTGATACCTACGATCCCGATGGAGCTACTACATTCAAGTTCGGAGCAGATTTGCACGCAAAAAGCTCGGTTTCGAGGAAAAAGTCGTGGATATTTGTCTCATGCCTCGGTGACTTTGGGCTCTCTACTGTTCATCTGCTCGGGAAGGAATCATCTACACGCGCTACGTCAAAAGGGAGTTTATGAAGCTAGAGCGCTCTGCTCGCGCCCCTAATACTGAATACATCTACTACCTGCCACACGCAACAACCGTCTATAGCACAGAGCTCGCCGCACCGTTGATCTGGCACGACACCTCCAGGAATACTTGATCTGAAGCAGCGCTTCTCGGGAAAGCAGCCGATCGCTGGTCCTCCGAGAACGCGCTCAGCGGATAGAGAAACGTGACCGATTGGTCGTTCTTCTCCAGCAACTTGTCGTTCGACGCAGCGACTGTCGCAGCCGTAGCCGTCGTAGGGAACAAAGCACCCGTTGATATGCTCTTGCGGATCACGCTCATGTCAGCGACTGAACGCCGAGTCACCTCGTTCTTGCCGTTCAGCACCGTGAGGAGCACTTGGTTGTTCTCGTTCCAAAGCTTCGTCAGCTTCTCATAGAGACGCGAGGTCATCGACACGGGCTTCAGCGTCGTCTTGGACTCCGAGCCACGCTTGACGTCGCCCTCGACGTCACTCTGGCCAAACTCTTCACTGTCAGCACCAAACCAGTTGGTGTCAGCGAGCGCTGGTGCAAACGGCTCGTCCACTGGGTAGACGAACTCCTCAATCAAGTCCGTGTCGAAGCTCATATCCGCATCAGTCGACTCCTTGGGGGAATCACACGATCCCGAGTCCGTCACGTCCGACGCCGCCGATGGCGAGTTCGCGGGCTTCCGAGAAGCCGGCGAGCGCGACCTCTTGTCGCCTGACACGGCGACGACCGCAGCCGCAGCCGCACTCGCAGCTGACGCTGTCCAGGACGACACATCTTGAAAGTCCTCCCACGACGTCTTCTCCAGACACGCGACAATGCGTGACGCAATGCTCATCTGCGACAACTCCTTCACCGGCACCGCATGGAACATGGACGAAAAGTTGCTGCCACTCGTGACATTAGCCATTGGCTCGCTCTGTCCACAGAACGTGACCGAGAACATCATGGCCATCATCATGGCCAGATTCTTCTTGGCCGCATGCATCTCGCAATTGTGCGACTGCGTCAAAGCCTGCGCTTTTTGCCGCATCTGCTCCTCAGCCAGAGCAGCTGCGACACTAGCAGTGGCCGGATCCTCCTCTCGACTAGCTCCAAGTCCGTACGCAACCAGCGGCGACTCGTCCAAGTCACACAGCAGATCTTCCCCGACCATCCCTTCGTCCATATCATCAAGACAAGCTGCCCAATCCACAGCCGGCGAGGCATCAGGCACCACGACCACGGGCTGCTCCAGCACGAGCGGCTCCAGTTTCACCGGCACTTGGTCGAAATGCCCTTCCTGGACACGCTGGTGGCGCAGCTGACACTGCTGTTCGTGCCGTCCCACGAGCTGCTGCTTGAGGTGTTCACTCTCCACGGCCATCGCAGCCATTTGCTCCTGCAGCGCCTTCAGCTGATGCTCTTTCGCTTGCAACTGGTCCTCCAATTGACCCACGTAGGCCTTTTTCCGCTCGCGATGGAGCTGCGCCGACATGCGATTGCGGATCAAGCGGCGCTTCTTCTTGGCTTCCTTCGACTCGGGGTCCAAGTGCTCGAGCTGCGCTTCCATGGCCCGCAGTCGCTCCTCGCCACTGGCGTCCAAGAGCGGCGCTTCGGTCTTGAGCCGCTTGCTCAGGAGCGACGACGTCTCGAGGGCGTCCAGCGGCTTGCGCTTGTCGCGGCGCGTGTGCCCACGGGCGAGACGCTGGGCTTGAGTCGCGGGGCTGTCCATGACGTGCGGCAGGGGGGACGCCGGTGGCTCGAGCTTGATCCTGGCGGACGTGGGTCGGTCGAATGTAGCCATGGTGGAGCTGTGGGGCGGTGACGGTGGGTGGGAAGACGCTGAAGTAACTGAAGTAGTAGCACGAGGTGAGGGGGGCATGGTACTGGAGGCGGATGTTTGCCAAATGGTGCGGATATAATCAGTCATGGGGTAGGGGAGGGCGCTGGAGACAGTGGGTGGGTCGCGTTTGAGGGTGAGTGGGTGGGTTTTTCTTCTTTCTTGGGTGGGTGCGAAGTTGGGCTGGTTCGGTCGTGGGCTTAGTTTAGTCTTTTTTGGGCGATCGCGACGACGTGAGCAGCTACAAAAGTGAGATACGAAACGAGAGGGTGAGCGGTTGGTAGATGACGGCGTGGAGTTGGAGGGGGCGGGAGATATAGATAGCATGGAGACGTTGGCAGTTGGAGAGCTGCATACATACCTTGGTCAGTCAATCGATCGATCAGACTGTTGTAGCGGTGGTGGTAGCGGTGGTGGTGGTGGGTGTTTTAAGCGAGTGTCGGAGCTCACCTGACTCGGAGGTCGATTATTTCGGATTGACGCTTCAAGTTGTTGGTTTGCGTTCGGCAGGGATGTACGTGCGCTCGTCTCCTCTCTTCTCCGCCCTGCTGCGTCCTCTTGGGTTCACACGGGTATTGTATCGGCTAGCGTCCTATCCAGGGATGCGGGATCGTGCAGCACGGATAAAACCTCATGATCACTCTGGCTTTGCAGCACGAGTGATCGTCGAGGAGCTGGTCAATCGAGTGACCTACCCCGTTTCCAGAAGCGAGGTTTTTCGCAGGACCGGAGAAGATACGTGCAGATCTTCTTTGACATGCGTCGCATGAACCAAAGATCGCACGCTGTTGTCATAAGGAAAAGAGAGAGAGAGAGAGAGCGAAGCGTCCACCTACCTACCTGCCAATGCGCTGGCTCGTGTTTATCTCATGCCCGCGCATCTGGCGTTAATCCCGCACAGAAGAGATGATCCCATGAGTTTTTTTATTCAATATTTGTAGTTTATATAACTTGGATTGAATAAGAAACCCCCCATGTGTCCAGTACACTGTCCCGTCTGTTGCGCCACCACGGACTTTGCGTGCGCTCCCCACGGAGTGATGGTCGTCGTCGCGTTGTTCCGCTTTGGATACGGTCGTGCGATCGTGCGACAAGTGGTCCACGAGGCGGCAACGGCTCCCGTTTCTATCCGAGAAAGCATCAAAGCATCCGCTCCTTTAGAAATCACCAGCCATGCTCGTGTCCACCACTCCCCCCACCTAACAACACCTCACTCCACAGATAGACGCATCCCCAGCTGGCATCCTCCTGGCTCCAACCGATTGTGTGCCAGCCAAGAAACGGTCGGGAAACAATCGCCACTTCGACCAGCAAGCAAAGAGCAAGGCGGCACGAGCGAGCGGAAGATCGGAGGAAGCCTCTCGCAACCAAACGTCGCAGCTCAGATGGGCAGGAAAAAACACGTGACACGCGCCACTTCGCCTGGCTGCGAGCAGTCGAATCTTCGCAGAAGGACACGACGACCAGCCCGACGCTCTTATTTTTTCCATGCAACTCCTTCCCTCCTCCCCGTCCTTCTTCTTCTTCTTGTTCTTCTTGCTCGAACACGACCATCACGTGCTTCTTGCTGCATTGAATAAGGGATACAGTCTCCACCATTTCAGCCGTGGACGTGCATCAATTGCGCAGTAGTTTCCGTGAAGCTCAGTGCTGAGACTTTGGAGGCTGCACCTCCTTTGCTGCAACTGTTATGGGCTTTGTCGTTGTCCCAACGTGTGCCAAACGAGACAGTCACGGGCTGTCTAGAGTGCTTGAAAGTAGGACCAATTTGCTCGCTTTTGGCGGCCAGGAACCAACCGAACACTGCGTACACTCGTAACCGTGTCGAGACCACGAGCTGCACTCGCGTCTGCGCTATTTGATTGCTCTGCGTAGCTTCCTTGCACGAGGTGCGCCTTGATTTGGACGTCAAAGTCAAGTCCGTACTATGTGAACAGTCAGGGCATGTTGACGGCCTGCTGCTTGACGAAAGGTGTGCAGCAGAAGGCGTGTCACGCGTCGGAATCAGCTGCGAAAGGCCTGGCGCTGGAGTGTGCGTATGGAGGAGGTACCGTTTTCGATCAGCAATCAACGACAACTGGCGCTTGGATTTCATTCGCACCGCTCTTGGCTGCTGTTCTTGCTCCGTGAGTGACTACAAGAGAGACGCGAGCGGCACTTTGTTTGACGGGGTTATCGATGACATGTGCCAGCAAAAGACAATGGACAGGTGCTGGTATGCCAGCTGCATTAAGACTGTCATCCATCGATAAAGTATCTTTGGCCACAGGATAAAGTATCTTTCGATGCAGGAGTGGACTTGCACTTGAGTCCATGGAGACATCATTAACGCGCAAGGATGATGTAAGCTGTGTTTGTCATCAAGTCATCTTGGTACCTTTAGCGTCGATCACTTGCAACCGGATCGGTTCCTTTGTCTATGATCAAGCTAGGACTGTCAACTCGTGTCCGTGCTGTGACAAGACAGTCAGAATGTCATGCATACGACGACGTTCCTGCCCGGGGACGAGATCCATGGCGTTATCGTCCCGCATTTCGTCTGCCGATCTAATATCAATGCTAAGGACAACTGATGGACGTTCTGGTTGTTCTCTCCTGTGTTCAACGTCGTAACCGTCCACGCAAATGTCGCCTGGATCGCGAGTCTGATTTGAGAACGCCTCTCTGACGTCTGCTCATGAAAAGGATGCGAGTACGACGTTCACGAAGCGACACATGCGATGGCATGAGTCGCTCCTGCAAGCTGAGCACATGCCACAAGCAATGTGTGGACTATTACAGCGCCTTGCAAACAACGTTATCGTCCCACACGACAGCACTGCTGTCGCTCTTGTTCATTCTAGTCATTGTCCTTTCCATCGTGCTTGCCCTTGAGCTGCTTCAAGTGACTACTGGAGGTTACTTGGTGTGACGTTTGATCGCCCTCGTCTTTCCTGGTTGCCACGGACCGACACGTTCATCCTTGCTCGAGCCAGCTTATCGAATACATATCGGCTAGCGGTAACCTCGCTCGCGGTGACGAGTTGCAGCGTAATAGGCGCATGTTCGGAGCAGGAAAGTTGTGTAGAGGGCAAGCTGCTGCATTGTGGCAAAATCAAATGTTGTACATACTTGATTCCATGCGTGGGTATGACGCTCACGAAGCTGTCGTTACGTGACGACCGAAGTCGAGACGACGTGGCTGTTAAAGTGCTGCCATGGCCACTGGACAAGTGCAAGTTAGCACAGTAACAAGGTTGCCTTCTCTCGCATTCATCATTGTGCTCGCTGTTGAATAGGCTTGCAATCATTCAGCGGCCTGGCTTAGCAGGTCATTGCGTAGGAATACAAAGCGGTGGTGACGCGATAGTCGCGAAGGTATGAAGCCCAAAATGATCTCTGCTTGGAAGTTGCAGCGAACCACAACAGGAAGGTCGCCTTCGAGGATGCTGGATCTTCAGTGACTTGCAAAGGTACACTGGCGAGCACGAAACAAGTGCTCCACATGTCAAGCATAGCAGCAGCACCTGGACTTGTCGTTTGAGTGAGTGAGTATAGCTGACCGACTCTACCGAGGCAGGTACGGACTCTAGATACGGCTCCTTGACTGCGTGGCTGCAGCACCTTCGATTCAGGCAGGCTAAGACAGTCAATCGTATCTAGAACTGCTCGACAGCAAGCTACGGAAGATTGCTCGCAAGTCGGCCCCCGCGCTCATCACAGCCGTAAAAACGCTCTGCTGGTCCATGTTGTGTTGTATCGCCTCTTAGTGAAGGGCAGGCATGGGGATGGTAAGCAACCGTTGTCTTCGTTACGGGTAGACACTTTTCTATGAGTTGGTCATCCGATAAGCTACGCATAAGCTACACGTCAACTTCCTGTTTATACAATGCCGAGAGGGAGAGCAACATCTCGAGCGAGAGACGACCAAAGAGGACCACCGACATGTACGAAACGTACGTCTCGACAATTGACTCGTTCAGCAGTTTCCATCACGATGAGCTCTTTCTTGTCGGTCACACATGTGACCTTTTACGCTATCAAAGAGTGGCGTGTTGCCCTTAACTTTCTGGGTACAGGATGGACACTTTAACTACTCATGGATGAGAGCAGTGGACATAACAACGGTAGCAATGAGACATACGAGCGATATCCCGGCAGCAACTTCGGTGGCAGTCGCCACCTTGTGGGCTTAGCAACGAAGGTGCTCGCTTTGGAATGCACTCGTGACAGTCTGATGCATGATTCGTGACGAATACATCGTGACGAGTCGATCATGAGTACTGAGCTCGCCATTTAACTACAACGAACAAGTAAGGCGAATGCCTTCCCCGAGAAGAGCAAGCAAAGTATTGGTGATGGATCTAGTGATGTAGGCTGATAACCGCGATCATTTACAAAGCACACTAAATCTCTACGACTTGCCTTCTTCCAGAGAGACTACTTGCTTTCGTAAAGACTTTTGTCCCGGTGACTCGCTGACTGTACGTCGAATCTACGAGCACGGGAACTTGATCTCTTCCAAGCTTCGGAAGAGCTGAGCATGAGGGATATCAGGGTCCACCGGCAATTGCATTGAGTGCAGTCGGATGACTGTCATCATTATTATTTGCCCAAAGGATACTGTGCATGTATTCAGACACGGCAAAGTCCAGGCATCCTAGCCAAGACGCCCGACAGAACTACGCGAGGAGAATTTTCCCATCTATTAACGGGTGAGACGACCATTGTTGTCGCAACTGTACGAGACGAGGCGCCTACCTGCCTGCGTCGTTTCGTCACTCGGCCGACCGCACCCTCGCAGGTCGCATGGCGGTTTGGCGTTCGTTCCCCATGATTAACCGTCGATTGCCGCGGACATTATTGTTGAACCTGTTACGTGCTGCAAAGCCGTTCCGGGTCAACCTCGTGCAGACGTCGCCGTCCACATCAATGCGTTGTGACTCTTAAGACCAAGAGTGTCTTCTAGTGAGCAGGTAGACGGCAGCGATCGTATCGAGTTGCTATCAGTTGAAACGACCGTCAAATGGGACAGCTCACGTCACGATAGAAGTCTGCACGACTTCGGTACGCATATTCCCATACGCAATGCTGATGTAACGGCAAGACCATACAATGTAAAACGCGCTTGCGAGCTTCTTCGTAACGTGCTGTTGTCGACACTTCACACGGATGCAAATTGTACCTAAAAGCGGGCGTTCGTGACGACCTGAGCGCATCAAGGAGATACTTCTTGCTACATTGCACAGCTTTAACTCCATCAACGTCTTGACATCGACCCTTTATATCTGATCCTCTGCTTTAGCTGGAGCGATACTAAGGGACATGAAGCAAGGATATTGACGATGATGCCATCACACAGACCGTGGTAACATGATGTTCATTAGATTAGGACTAAGAAAACCCTCCGTGTACTAACATTCAACTTTGTTGTCGTGGGAGGGGGTCTCCATCCAGGATAAGCCATTGTAATCTGACGAAACCAGGATAAGCCATCGTAATCTGACGTAACAAGCTGTATATAAACATTGTCGGTGATGAATTGTCGGTGATTTGTGCGCCCCTATTGAAGGAGGCAGCAAGAAAAGTTTGATCCGCCCTGTAACAACGATATGCGGTTCTCCGTATCAATTCTCTTTGACTTCATCCTACCCAGTGTCCTACACAAAGTCTGTAGGAGCTACTCGGACTCATGCCGATTATATGTGTAGCCCTCATTCTATATGGCAACTTCTGACGATCCTATTGATTATTTTGCATAAACTACAGGGTTGTCATGAGCTATCCTCCGTATCTGCTTGTTGCTGCATCGAGATTAACACACAAGTGCCAGGATCGTCCTCTACGCCTCGGTCGTAGACGGATCGAATTCCTGACGTTATTTTCATCCACGATCGCATCCGTGTTACCATTGAGTAGATGTTCCTGAGAGACCTTGTCCAGTTCTAACCGGTAAGTGACAACCTTCTCACCTGAATAATTGGGAAAATCCTCATCGAATCTGTGCCTATCATCGAGCTCCTGACATATTTTTACTCTGTAATGACGCCTCCAGTATTGGCATCTTGCTAAGAACTGGCGCTTGCTAATTGCTACTTCCTATGATCCACACTTCGATCCGCAATATCTAAATCAATTGGCAACGATCGCAGCTTCCCATTCGCTCTACCTACGAGGACTCCAAATTGAAGATACGACCACCTTTTCGAATGATCCCAGCATCACAAAGACGTGGACACGACTATCGACAATTGTGTCGTCTCTCAGTTTGGGAACGAGCAGGAGTCTCACCAGAGCGACAAAAGGACAGTACTTGACCGCAATATGTGAGAAACACATATGTGGTCTATCCGGAAGTGAAGGCCTTGAGCCGTTTACAGTAAACGCTTCGCAATGCAAGCTTTTGCGTTGTTGCGGCAGGAGGTAACCAAGATGGAGCAATTCCGTGCTTGAAACGGCGTGTGTTCTTGCAAAATTCGCCATCTCTTCAGGGTCGCTAGGTTGCAAACTCATTGTATGACGGAATGGTAAGCGTGAAGCACGTCTTGTGCCCATTTCGGCTTCCGACTGATTGGTAGACTGCAAAAGACTAGCTAGTCTGGATACTATGGCTTGGGTCCATCATCACGTCGTCAAGACATGTGAAACACAGTCATCGTCGACAACACTGTGTCTATTCGGGCAGCCTGCTCGATTTTCATGTTGTGGCAGCCATTTCGCTCGAGCGTATGGACGACGTTCATCTTCTCATAAGCCGCTGGTTCTCAACATACCATGCAGTACGCATGGAAATCGGGGCGGCTAACTCGGATCCCATTACGAGTCTTGCTTGCAAGCTGTAACAAGCCGTCACAAAATCTAGCAGCCCATGGACGTGAACATGTCCTTGCTACATCTGAGTAAACACGCCGCTCGTCCATCGTGCGCTGTTTCCGTAGCTAGATGTAATGTTGTCTGCTCAATATTGAGCATACCAGCGATGGCGTCGGAGTACTACAGCCATTCAGATGATCCTTTGCTCGCGGGCTTCTTTGCAAGCCGAGCCCGAATCTCTTTTAGCATGAGCTTCATGTTTTTCTGATTGTAGTGGCACAAAGTGGTGCAGACCTGATTCATCAGAATCGCATTTGAAAGTCCATAGCTGCCAACTTCCACTAGCTCTGGTATCGTGAAGAGACTAAAGCAGTAACTCAAATATCAAAAATCGCGATTCCGGGTATTAGACAATGACGATTTCCAAAAGATGATTCGTCGCACAACCTCGCGTGATGTAAAACATTGTCGAATCGAATAAACCAGCGTTTAAACGCTATTTGTACGACCAGCACACCACGCCGGCAAGGTGGTGGTCACCACACTGTCTTTTCGCCGAATCAATCACCCTCGATTCAGTTAAGTTGCGACAGCTGTCATTCGAAAAACGAAGAAAAAACCTCGTGCAAGTCGGTAAGTCAAGGTCGCTCTCCGCCTCTCTCGAACGTCTCTCCCGCGACAGCCTTTTTTCGTCGCAAGCCCTGACCTCCTCCTCCACTAGTGACATTTTCGATTCCCTACTGACAAATCACCGCGACAAGTCGACCACATTTCTCAAGGAGAGAAAAAAAAGTGTTTTGTTCACGACTTCTCAAGCTGAATATTCCAACAAAGAGAGACTGAGAGAGACTGAGAGACGCAAGCCTCGGTCCAGTTTGTCTTTTGTAGCCATTTGTCCACTCGCAAGCGATGTCGCTGGAAGAGACAGTCCATTGCCGCCGCTGCTGCTCGAGTGACGAAAGTCTGGTACGTTTAGAGAAAGAGAGAGGGAAATAGACTTGAACTGAGTATACTGCTGTGGGGAGCTCTTGTAAACGGAGCAGGCTGCTGCTCGTTTCATACTGGGGTTTGTATGCGTGACGATGTTTTTGTATGTATGTGTGTCTGTGTGGGTTTCAAATGTAGCCAAGTGCCGCGCCAATCCCTCCCGGAACGACGTTGAACCCATTCAAGACGGCGCTTCACAAGTTTGTGCACAAGAAAAAAGACCGACCAGCTGTCCCTTCTGCTGCTGCTTCTGCTGCTTCTGGTGGTGGTCTGAACACTGCAGCAACCTCGAGTTTTTTTCTGCGTAGCCATCACAAGCTGCAAGTGGCTACACCAGCTCAGCCATTGCCTGGATCAGTTAAACAAGTTCATACGGGGCAGTTGCCTCCAGTGTGGGCGACACCTGCACCGGCTGCACCCACGAGGTGATTGGAAATGTCTTTTTTTTCTTCTGATGATGATGTTTCCGTGATGTGGCAACTAACTGCTGGCTGACGTGGGGACAGGAAAAGTAATGGCGCGGGACTTGCTGACTTGGCGCTGCTGCAGGGGCCAGGCGGCCAGTTATTGTCAGTGGAGAGCGGGAATGCGGAGGTTTCGCTGACGTCGTTGCTGGAAGGACGTGCTACGGGCCAGCAGCACTTGACGCCAGAGGAGGAGAGAAGGCGGGGTCGGGATGATCAATTGAAGCAGGAACGCAGCAGCAGTGATGCTGTTAGCCAGGGCGAGAGAAGAGGGAGCATTCCTGTTGAAACCACGACGTTGGCGTCGTCGTCGTCGTCATCGTTGTTGTCACGCAATGCATCTGGCAATCTCCGCGATGTGCAGTTTGAACGATTGCTGGAACAGGAAGTTGTGGATCTGGACAAGCTTCGCAAACTCAGCTGGGGCGGTGTCCCGACGAAGCATCAGCCGACCGTCTGGCGGCTGTTGCTGGTAGGATGGCTGTCGCTATGTAAGTGTGATGTACGACTGCATGGTGCTGACTGTTGTGGCGGTACATTGTGTGTATGTGGCTACAGGGCTACATGCCGTCGAAAAAAGATCGGCGTGCTGCTATGTTGGAGCGCAAGCGACAAGAATATGTCGAGTTGCTGCAGCAGTATTATTACATTCCAGACACCGACCGGGGAATGCGAGAGCAAACTACGCTGCGTCAGATCCTCGTTGATATTCCACGGACAAACGCAGACGTGAAGCTGTTTCAGAATGAGCGCATTCACCAAGTACGACGGTATGGTTTTACTATGAGACTGTCGAGCGATTACGTTGACAAGCTGCGTGTGTGGGCATGTCTTTATAGTGCATGGAACGAGTTCTGTATATTTGGGCAATCCGGCACCCGGCAAGTGGATACGTGCAAGGAATCAATGACCTCATGACGCCGTTCTTGGTCGTATTCATTTCGGCTTTCATCGGTAAGTGGGTGTCGTGGTTCAGTTTGTCAGGCTCCTTAGCTGACACATCTTTGATACTTAGATGACCCGCAGATGTGCGACTTGTCAAAAGTGTCGGATGCGAACCTGCAAATTGTCGAAGCGGATAGCTACTGGTGTCTGACGAAACTGTTGGACGATATCCAGGACCACTACACTTTCGCACAGCCGGGTCTGCAGCGCATGGTGCAGCGCATGGAAGAATTGGTTCATCGTTGTGACGCAGAATTGTTCGAGCATATAGTGGATCGTGAAAATGTGCAGTTTGTTCAGTTCGCATTCCGCTGGATGAATTGTTTATTGATGCGCGAGTTACCACTAAACGGCATCGTGCGCATTTGGGATACGTATCTATGTGAAGACTCGGGCTTTGAGAGCTTTCATGTGTATGTGTGCGCTGCGATTTTGATGACGTTTGGCGAGACACTGAAGACACTGGAGTTCCAGGATTTGGTGCTTTTTCTGCAAAGTTTGCCGACGAAAGACTGGATGGAAAATGAGATCGAACCGTTGCTCTCGCGTGCATTTATCTTGCAATCCTACTTCGCGGATGCCCCGAGTCACCTCAGTTCTCAAGCCGCTCAATAGTGAGCACGACGACTAAGTTAGCCGGCTTGTAAAAACCGTTCTCTGCTGTTTCATGGCAGTCGAACTGTCTAAGCTGTTCGCTGGATCATGGCGATGGACAAGCAATACGATGGCCAAGGAATTGCTATTCACTTTCTAATTTGCGTCGACGCGAACGAAAAAAAGCGATGCATTGTGTGACCGAGTGGAACATATAAAGCCAGGTCGAAGACGGGTGCTTTGCTTGATAAGCTAATTGTGTGCTACCGATTTGCAGCGTATCGATCGTTAGCTTTTCACGGCTGCATGGTGCAACAGCAAGGTACAATAAATGAGAGCTTACTTCGACGAACGCACCCATCCGGGACCAGTCGTGTGATTTATCCGGCATCACGGTATCTGCAACTAACGGCACAGACCGGCTCCAAGCTGCAGGCGGTCCAAAATTTCTGCTGCGGGTAAAAGAAGCAGCAGGGTTTGTGGATTACAATGCGTCGCTAACGGATAATGACGATGGCAGTGGTGAGGCGGCAGATATGTCTTGCTGTCCAGCACTGACTAGCTGCGACGTCTTTTTGCGTTGCAAGAAGTAAGCACGCCCGATCACAAGTCTTTTTTTCGACCGCGTTGATCAAGTATGGAGAGGCGCAAGTCATTGTGTGTCTTCTCATTTTCGTTGCGGTCTCTTGTGTGAACGATTGCTTAGGCACGAGTGGTGCAAGTAGTCTGCAATTTGCCAACTAGCAGCTCCTTACACCATTTCATCGCAAGACGCTCGATTATATTTACGTAATGCCCGTATAGTGAATCTGTCATAGTACCAATTCCACTTTGATCGCTGGATGAAAAGCTATTTCTAACCTTGCAGTTGCATGCAGCATTATAGCGGATATGTGCAAACAGCCGATGCAATTTTTTTTATCATGTGCTTAACATATAGTCCTTATGATGTAATGCTCGGCACATTTCACTAAATGCAGGGTGCTTATCCTTGCAGTAGGTAAGTCCAAACTTAATTCATTTTGCGGGAACCTTGGTGCGCACAGAAGTGGCCAAAATCAGTAATGTGCATCATGCCAGGATCTTCGTAAGATGATGCAGCGCTCCATCGGGGGAGTAAGCTGTAAAGCTTGCTCTTTGACACAAGTCATCCAGTCCATAGAGACTGTGTTAAGTGTTGTAAATGTACGCACCATTTCGGGTGGTTGGCAATTGAGAATTGGTGGTGCAGCATGTGTGAAATGCAGTGTTGATTGATTATTTTGTGTTGAAGCTTGTTGTCGAATTGTTTAAGAGATTGATGAGAGAAAGATCGCAGACTGGAAGTGATCCTGATCCATACCGCCTTCAACAACAAAGTGTGGCCGGCGAAATATAGATGATCAACGGTAAGGAGAAATCAAATTGAATGTGATCGCTCTGCCAGCGCGAGAGGGTGGTGACCACAACTAGGGATCCGACCTGGATCAGGTTTGTTGATTCAACCCGGTGTTGGACCCGATTGGTCCGCATACCTGGATCAGGTTTGTTGATTCAACCCGGTGTTGGACCCGATTGGTCCGCATCACGGGACGGAAATGGACTGGACGTTGACCCTTTGGCCCTTACGTGAAGAATATATAGATTGTTGCCTTAGCAATCAGCCAAATGGGTTTTCTTTTGATTTTAAATCATGCAGTGATTTCTATGACCTCTTTCTGGTACATTTCAACTATTCAAAGGTCTTGAAAATGTTTTCGTGATGTCTATAGCAAGCACGCTGCTAACGCCTGAAATATAATGAAATGGTAAAGAAAGTTTCACCGTAAGGAATTATGAGTCGAAGCAAACACAATTGCATGATCAATCGTTTTCGCCAGCAGTTTCAGTCAGCAAGCAGAGATTGGTGACTGAATCAGTGGCGGCGAAGGGTCAAGCAGAATCAAGTTGTGCTTGATAATCACAGCAAGGAATCGGTATATAATTTCAAGAAAACGTTATTCAGCCACCACCTCCGTTAATCAGCCACCACAATGGATGCGTACATTTTTATTAAATTTATAATGGACATTCAAATGGCATTTGAAATGTGCCCTGAAATGGGGAGGCATTTCATGCATTCGATTCCCAGCGCAAAATCTTCAACTTCATCTGCTTCTTCTATGGACGGGTGAACGACCTCGGCGCTTACGCTTCAGTTCAATCGCATGCCAGCAAAGGGCAACAGGAAATGCGACCTGGCTGAATGCAAACACTGCGGCAAGACTTTCGTCTAGGGTTCCCAAGGTATCCATCGGCACACCAACAACGCCAACTACCACGGGGTACGCCATAAATCGCTCGTTTTCTCGCTGTTATTGTTTGCAGGCTTGATTCACGTATTACTAGTTCCCGAGGGGTTTGGGATGGCCGCCCACAAGACGCATATCGCACCAGTATGTGTCGGAAGAGGACGATGAACCGATCGAGGTCAGCCCATCAATCGCCCTGCGCTGTCGTCGAATACATGCACGTCGTTTACGCACCTCGTTAGTGTGATTCAATGACTGCAGATAGTTCAAATGAAGCTGATACGCTGCTGGTGCACGCGATCCATCACTCATCGGCATCGTTCACGCTTTACAAAGGCGATCACTGACAGACGTGGCTGACCAATATTCTCCCCTTGTACCGCTTACCATAACATGTCTTCAACGGTGGGCGACTGCTCATCAAAGAGTAAATGGTGGTTCAAAAGGAGGCGATTTAGGTCGTTATGGATATGGATGTTGAGGACGACGTAGACGTGCTAGAAGAAGTCTCCATGTACGCCGATGCATGGACTCGTGTCATGAAAAGCTTGCGCCGGTAGGCTTTCCATTTTCAGCCTACTTACGTTCGTGTTCGGCTGCGCGGTGCACGGCGGACACAACCTGTGCATGAATTTGCTGAATTTGCCCAAAATCAAGCAGATCGTTTCGGCCAACCTGTTCATCTTAAGCTTAATAAACAGCATGCACCTCCTGACGACGATGCTTGACGTCTGCTGCTTCGAGAATCTGCACAAGACGTACAGCTTATTTTCGCATACGAAAACACGCTGATGCAATGTTCTTGACATGCTTAAGCGCAAACATCTTGTAAAAATCCGTGCTGATCAGCATGTCTCACGCCATAAATCATGGTTATAAGTTCGAAAACGTGGTATGAAGGAACCGGTCTGCAATGACTCCTCAAAGTCAGGCACCTGAAGAATATGGACGCAGTGGCGCTGATTCTGGCACCGCTGTGCGTCGCAATCACACATCTAGAAGGATGGGGGGGGGCGAGGTGACGCTCCCATCTGTGTGGGCCTCTTTCGCTCATGTTGCACATCATGTACTTTCCATCGATCAGAAAATTATCGCTGTGCTCGATGTGGACCGAGACACGCTACTCGGTTCGTCCACCATTGCGTTGGCACGATCTACACGCCGGCGTACGCGCTTGTAATTTTCACCGACCCGTTCTACTACAGCGTGCGCATAAACCTGACCGGCTTGGACAGGACGGTAGCCCTCAAGCTAGGCCAGGGTATCTTGTTTCAGAAGTGCTACACGGCGTTGGCACGGACTGCCGCCAGCGTCTAGGAGCGCTGCAATCTTCTGCTGGGTCAGTTCGCATACTTTCTCGCGATGTGCATGGAGGGCACGAACATCCTGGCGTCGCGCAATCAAAAGCCCGTCTTGTTCGGGGAGAAAGTCGATGAAATTGATCTCGTCGATGTGCTCGTCCAAGGGCATAGTAGCCTAGCCGGTGCCGTATGTGGAGAGTGAAACTAAAAAGCGAACAATCGAGTGCGCACCAAGCAGCGTGTTCTTCTTAGGATCGATAAATGCGAAAAACAGGTCGCCATGGCTTACAACTCGGCCAAGCTAAAACGGTCGTTGACCAAGAGGCTTTCCGGTTTATACATCATGATTTTAACCGCGACCTACAAGGAGGAGGAAGAGCGGTGCCTGCAACTGCTAGGAGAGCAGGAGCCGAGAGAGGAGGAAGACGACGACACCGGGCAAGACAAATTCGGAACGGCCGACGACGTGGGCTCTATCCTGGATTTGTAGTTAGTAAAGGTTTCGGAAAGGTTATTATGATGGAAGGCCTGATCTGATTTAACTATAAAAATGCACAAAATCACGATCTGACGGCCATCAATCTGATTTTTGTTAATTAAAATACATAAATACATGTTTTGATGCATATTGAACGCTCCAAATGCCGGGACGATTTGAGATTAATCTAGTTTCGAACACTAGCAACCGCCCACCAAAAGTAGTATGATTTGCATTCATTTTAAAAATGTTCCAGTTTGTTATAAAAAGTGCTGAGCGTTTTCAAGCTCAAACAATTTTTTAGTTTTACACCAATGAAAGTATTTATGCGCGATTATTGATTCAAGGTATGTTTATTTATCGCTAACTACAAAGGAAAGTCTCGAATTACCGCCCCAATTGCGTACAATTATTTGGAGAAGGCAAATACGGCAGTTGAAGTACATGCACAACAACAAATCTGTGTCGTAGTTGCCAAACGCCCAAAAGGATGGGAAATAGAAATGAGGTGCTTTGAAATATTAATTTTTGCCCTGCTCACAGTTAAACCCTCAGCGACGCGAAATTAATCTCGCTAACGTGCTTATTTCAGTCGTGGAACTGGGTGCTTGTTCAAGGTCAGGTGGCCTTCTGCACCTCCGTCTTGTGACGCGTCAGTTAAAATTCGTAAGTGTGCTAAACTTATTGCCGTGATTACCATCTCCATGTGTTAATTTGTGATGCCAAGTCCTTGACATGACCGAGCACATCCCAACAATATACCCTCGATCGCGCGTAATTCACTTGCCTTCTTAGATATAACGGGTCGCAAAGAAAAACATTGTGCGTAATTCATTTGGCAATGCCCACGCGGAATGAGAAGTGAGAGAACCACGCGTTATCTTGGTCCAGAAGGAACTGGCCATACCCCTCTTGCTTGTCTTTTAGCCGCAGAATGAACAACATAAGTATATGTTTGTGCGTAGTGCCGCCACCAAATTACGATCAAACGCAAGGTGTGCATCTGGTTTCCGCACTCGACTTAACATATTGCAAAAAACGTTCAGCGGCTTCATGACGTTGTATATTTGCGTGACCGATAAAATACGTTGCTTTTAAATTGAACATACATCATATATAAACTGGCGGGTGGTGGCTGACTAACGAAAGTGCATCGGCTGAATAACGTTTCCTAACTTCAACTGTAAACTTGGGGTGGTCAGCAATTTGTAGAGCTACATTAAAGTCTAAAGTTTGAGTAGGACCATATATTTTTACTGGAATCCGAAGGACAGCCATAAAAAAAGACACGAAATTAGACAAGATGCATTGCTTGTACTTCTCTGGTAGAGAGGTCCAAATTGGGCTGTTAGCTATGCTGAAAATATTGGTTTTGGCTTAAATTAATCACGATGTAAACTGTAAACACGTCACTGAGTACTGCGGACCGCTGTGCCAAACGACTCGTGGCTTCGAGCTCGTTTATAGAGAAAGAAACGGTGGTCGATGTAATTCGATTCTTAATAATACGCACAATAAATTCGTGGGTCATCTCGCCTACTGCACGCTTGTACTTCTTATGACTCCATGATCTCATTATACTGTTAAAATGCAAGCAGGCAGTGCTGCGCAAACCGTCTTCAATCACTCCGATCGTTTTCTGAACTCTGGGACGCTAAAAAGGACATCCAATATGTCCAATAAATTTTCACCCATTCATCTCCGTTTACAAGATGCAGTTGTATTGCGACGGTGATGACTGTTGCACAAACAATATCAATGTTTCAGAGCGACCGATCGAGACATGGAAAGACCTCACAATATTTAAGATTCCGTATAAAAGGTGACGATTTCCATAATTGGATTCTTTAATGATTTACAAAATAAGGAAATTTCGCAGCGGGTTGCGGACAAACAATCGGCAGAAGACAAAAGGCAAAGGCACGCAAATGCTTCAAAAGCTCCCATACGACCTGTGAACTTGCAACACACATCAAGCTACCCTTTTGCGTCATGAAGTGGCTCCATTGGTGTGCTCTCCCTCTTTCCAGATCCGACGCTCAAGGTTCACGCCAGGGTATGTTGCAAGGGTATTAGTAGAAGTTGATGGCGAGCAAATTGTCTGTGATTGTATAATTGAATCACTCCGTAATAACCCACAACGATCTCATAAGAGAGAGGATCACGCCATTGTTTTTCCATGACGCGAATATGTGCCATCAAACATAACCATACGATTCTTATAAGAATGACTACTGGTGCACATACCAAAAGACACAAAATAGCGAAACGATCGATTGGATTGGTTTACTTCTAGTGCAGCAGCATTAGCCGGATTAACACGTCCAAGTTCCACCAGGTGTGAGGCAAGGAGAGGAAATGGTATTTGCCGTTCACCTTCTATCACTTCGATAACAGCTCTTTTGGATCTGTAAATCTTGTGGATGTAGTTCTGAAGGTTAAGACCACCTCGAACCCGCACTATTGACGCAATTGACTTGCCGTTAATGTTCTTTTCGCCTTTACTCGCGGCACCAAAAATCAGCAGCAATTGAATTTGCCTTGATGTTGGTTTTGTGATGGCCTTGCACATATTGAAATGACGATCGCTTAGAGTAAAGATGTGTAATTACGGAGGTACAATCATTCTCTTTCTCTTTGTCGAGCGAATCTCTTACGAACGTTCATCTCGTAAAAACGCACATTTCTTGCTTCGGGCAATGCTCTTTGTAACCTTGCACTGCCAGTTGTGGTTTAAATTGTATTTTTTGCTGAAATGTGGTGCATAATCATCGGTCTGGGAGGTCTATCCCTTAGCCAGTTTATTTGCACTGTAAATGGCGGTCAAATCGATCGCTCTCAATTTGACGAACGCCTTGATAATACATTTTGCACCAGTCTTTTTATCGTCAAGCCTTGTAGCCATAAACTTACTAAACGCAAAACGACATGATCGATATAGCTTCACTCTTTCCATGTCTAACAAGTCCTCGTTTTGCGGCTAGTCCTCATTTTGCAAAGTGTGCATCAACTTAGTCCTGATGATGCATTTTACCCTCGTGAGATCGCTAGGATTCCAAGTTGGGTCGTTTCCGTAAAACTAAGTTACTGAATATAGACCAGCCCGCCCATGATCATCCAATAATGTGAAAATTGTGGGACTTCCAAAAATTACCTTACGGCTCAATATTTTGTATACCGAACTACTGAGTGATGGAATACAGCTTTTGATGATCATGATCTTAAGGTTTGACCTGCACAACCGTCGATCAACCTTATGGTCCAAATGATGCATAAATATTCTCGAGCTTTCTTGTGCTAGTTTGTTGGCGCATAGCATTGCACCACTATTTAGAGATGCGCTGCTGTGTTTTTTTTATCATTTTTGGTAAATAGATGGACATATCTATGCAAAATGTTCGGATTCCTCGACGCCGGTATGGTCCTCGCACGACACTAGCACGATAAATTTGGCGGCCACGCTTGAGTACGTCGTTCTTGTACTTGATGATGGCAAACATGATAAAGATGTTGGTTTTGGTGTAATTTATATTTTACTTATGTTAGTCTTCGCCATCCAGCGCTATCAGATTGACTGCTCCCTCTCATATTTCCATAGAGTGTTGCTCGACTTGTCATTTATGCGGCACGAAAATGGGAAGTGAGCTATGCAATTGACGCTGTAGTCGTACGCCTCCTCCCGAACATAAAGCGACGGATTGCTCACTCCTCAACGCACGAATAAATGCATGACAACCTGTTCGGACCACGCCCTGGACGCACAGACGGTCATTGAGACCGCGACGCTACAGTTTCCATCCAACGCATGATTGCGCTCGTCTCAAATTAAACGAGAAACAGTCTTGATACATCCTTAGATGCAGGTGCTTCAACTGATTGAGCTGTCTCTATTATAAGGTGGACATCGGGGATGGATCAGAACCTTTAAATTCAGGTGAACTGGACCGGACGACGTTTCTGAAGTGCATGCTACAGCGTGTCGTGTTTCGAGAGAAAAACTTTGCGAAATACTGCAGTACCAGAAGTAGACCAAAGTGTTTTACATCCAAGCAAAAAGCTGAGCAAATGTTTAGCATCCAGTCTTACGACAGGAAACGTTACTTGCTAGTCGATACCAAGAGACGTCAGTGACTGCCCGTGGACGTTTGACGTCGACATAAGGCAATGCGCGGGTTGGTGTAGGAAACACAAACTCCAGTCTGGCCAGCAAGCCGAACCTGAATGTTGCAAAACAGTGAAGACCTCCTCCGTATATTCGTAGCAGCTTCTTGCCTTTTGTGAACATGTGCATACTAGTACATATACAACTAGTCTCTTGTGGACACACATCGTCCCTGTGAATTCACTTTTAATTTTCTTGACTCGTTTGTCGGTAAGCATTGACGACTCAAACATAGCGGATATCGTCAGCGCTCAATAATACACAGGAGAAGTAAGCCTCAAAAGTGCACGTGCTTGCTTTTATTTGTCAGTTGAAATCGGTCCATACCACCCAATGCAGGTGCACTGACAATATCGTATTGTCAGCATACGCAAAGACCGCGCGCTGACGATGTGTGATGTAAGCTCATTACCAAAGCGATGTTCCATCGCTTTGATACGATGGAGGTCAGCAATGGCGAACAGCTCACACTCATGCAGCGTAGTCCCGGTTGCGTGAAAGTGGTTGCCAAAATAAAGTACATGCACAGCAGGTTACCCGCGCAGGTAAAGCATTATTGTGCACCGGTGAGCACTTCACATAGGATCTCTATTCTTTCAGGTGCCATCCAATATTTTACTGGTGCCAAAGTACAGCACATGTCAAACTCCTTCACGGGCTTTCATGGTTGATGGAAACCGTGCCGCTGTAGCAGATGCTTGCATAGGCAGTCTAGTGCCACGGCAAAGTGTTTGTTTTCTAGAACGTTGCTAATGACCCGGCGAATCGTTCTTGGCGGACAGTACACGCGAGAGCGAGCACACATGCCACTGGTGCATTCAATCGTTCAATCAACCACCCGGACGATTACTACGCGCGAAAACTGCGGTAGTCTCCATGGATCCTACAGGCGCTCCAAGTAACTTGAGTTGCACGCCCATCGCTGCCATGATACGTGGATCCGATCGCATCGATCACGTCTCACTCGCGGTGCTATAAACGAGGATGCTCGCTTTTACTGACGACGTGCATTTGCAGCAATACGAACAGTCATCTGTACCGCCATCTTCATCGTTTAACAGACAGCAACAACATACCCTTCCGACACTAAACCCTGGGACCCAGATGCATTTGTCAACTAACTATCAGTTGAAATCGCTCGCACTGACAAGTAGGGGCGGTCGGGGACCAAACTGATCCAGCAGCTCGCACCGGTTCTCACATCAGACAGTTGTAGCATAGACATGTTTTCTTGAACCCTGTAAAGTCAAGGACGTCGTCGTCGGTCGCACGATCAGTCTGAACACATGTGCGACTATCCCACAATGTGACCAAGTCAATAGACTGGTTCCGAAATGTTCGGCTTACAGCGGCTCTACCAGGAAAAAAGCACGGTCTCCATGTGTTGTGCCGATCGATGTTCGCCCTACTATCTCCATCGCCAGCAGCTCATTTGACATTCTGCTTCCGACTCGAAACCTGTACAAACCACAGTCAGAAGCCGTCAACTATGCATGATCGCGTCGTCCTCGCCTTGTTCGTGGCGATTATCATCGGAAGTTTCGTCAACTTCACCAATGCGGACTCGTACTCGATCAAGGACCTTAACAACGAGAGCACCAAGGCTGGCAACCTTCGTGAGGAGAGCGCGGTGGAGGAGGAGGAAAGAGGAGCAGGAGAGGTCAAGACTTTTCTTCAGAAACTCATTCCCGCATGGGGGCGGTCTACGGCCAAGGAAGACGTGGTGGCTCAAAGCGTAGTCCGGACATCGAGCCAAAAATCCACTCGGGCGATTGCAGGCGCGGCGGAAACTGCAGTGACCCACAGGAGCATGCCGAAGAAAGTATTGATCGGCGTGTATTTTGCCATACTCGCTACTTTGGCAGCTACCGGTTTATACTTTACGATAAAATCCGCAAGTCCATAGAGTAGTAGCCGCTTCGATTGACGGAACGACCGCATGTCCTGCGTGGCGTGAATGTAGCCATGTCTGAATAGACTGGTTGTAAACCTTCGACTCAGATTTCCGGTGCGAGTTTGGCAGGTCTGCTTTGAGTGACAACCACTAATGACGACCATTATCAGTGACTTAGCAGGGCCGCCGTCCGTCTCTTTCTTGGTCTCGAATGCGTCGGTGGTGCCTCGTTCGAGTCTCACTCTTCTCTCGTCTTTGCCTGCAACTTCTCTGGAGGAATTGGCTCATGCTGCAGTCTCTGAGCTAACAACCACTGGACTCAATCTCTCGAGCAGCCAACAGGTCGTCGATGAGAAGCTCTGGACGGACACGGAGGCATTTGCAGCCATGTGTGTAATCATTGCTGTCTGGGCTCGAGATGGAGACGCTCTGATGCTTATTGAGCAGCGGTACGCGAGGTGCACAAAGAATAAAGACGGTATTGTTGAAAGTGGGGACTTGTAGCTAACAGTAGACGTTGCGTGTCTCTGTTCTTTCTCTCTCTCTCTATGTGTGAACAGACGACAGCAGCTTGAAGCTCTTGGAGTAGACGATACAGAGCTGCAGACCAAGCTGCTGTCAGTCATTCCAGCAGCTGCATCGAGGGTGCGTCGTGTGCTTGACAGTACCAGTACGTACGATGTTGATGCAGCTGCTCTTGAAGTCTTTCAAAAGAGACGATTACAATTGCTTTTCTAACTTTGGTTGTTACGCTGCTGTTGCTGTGTCTACTAGACTTTGACTTTGCCCAAGTCGTGGACGTGTCGTGGAGATTGGATTACGTGGTGCGATCGAGCGGGGCTGGAAGTGTGCAAGAACCGCTGTACTTTGTGCAGCTGTATGTGCAGTCGCCTCGTCCTTCTGGAGACGTGGGGCTTCAGACGGTCGTGTTGACGTGCTCGGTGGAAGAGCTGCGAGTGCTTGTGTATCGCATACAGGAAGCTGCGAATGAAGTCGAAAAGCTGATGACGGGAACGCCGTCGCAATTTCGACAACGTACAAGCGCGTAGGAAAGGCAAGTCGGAGGAAGCTTGTGTGCTGTCACACCGTGCCAGCCTCGGTCCGCAAGGCTTGATACAGGCACTGATCAATTTCTGGGTTTCTACAAAAAGAAAACATGCGTCTAGGGGGTGGTGCAGGTAACGATGAAACATGTCTCTCCTCTTGCTAATGGCAGCAACTTTTTGGAGTCTGCAAATGCTTTGCCTTTGATGAAGTTGTCGCAACGAGGCAATGCGAAACTCAAGACCAGTCGGCATTCAATAGTCAGATTGACATGTTCGGACCAGTAGCACTCGGGATGGGCCATCTAAAGTGCTGCTCCTGCTTAACAATCGATTGATGGCTGTACGGGCCTCAACTTTTTTACGAAGAATTGCAACTAAAGACAACAGCACACAAACATGCTTGGACCAAATGGTTCGTAGCGTTCGGTCAACGCAATTGTTGAGCTCGACGTTGGCACATGAAAGCAGAAGAGTCTCGGCGACAACTTCAGTGACTCAATGAACATCAACTACGACATTCCTCGTACCGGTCATCGTCGTGCATTTCAATCGCGGGCTCCTTTCAATGTCGAGGATACAATGAGTTCACCCACTAATCGATCAGACTAACAGTACGTACGCTACACAGTCGTCACGACAAAAAAGTTGACAAACGTCACGGACGTTACAGATCACTACAAGTCCAACACCTACCTCCATGTTCAAAACGAGCTTTCCGACCATCGGCCGACAGAAAAAAAAAGCAAAAACTCACGTGCTGCCGGAAGAGTAAACAAAGCAGTTTCGTCAGCGACTGAAAAAGCGGGTTCATCCGCACATCGCGGTTCGCACATCGCGGTCCCATTGACCCAATTCGCGCACCCTTGTAGAAAACCAAAAAAAGAGCTAAAAAAAAAGAGCACACTTGCCAGAGATTGATAGATAAAAAGAGAGAGAGGCCTCGAGGAATGAATGTTACCGTAATTAGTGCGTGCCCCGATCGCATCCATATCGTCTTTCAGAGGGATCGCTCGCCTGCGTGGACGAACCCATCGGTCCCCCAGAATCCGTTTTCCGCCTGCCACGCGGCACTTTCGAATTCGACAGACGACGCGCAGACCTCGCCCCCAGCTTCGAACCTCGAAAAACCTCGTCACCTCTGCGGGGTTTTTCGATTGCGTCATGAAAGACGCGACTGAACCGCGTCGCTTCGAGCTCGAGCCGCCCGAGCGCGTCTTGCAGCACTTTGACGTGACCGAAGCCAAGGGACTGAGCGCCGCTGCCGTGGTCAAGCAGCGAGCTATCCACGGCTTCAACGAGCTCGCGAAGGAAGAGCACACGCCGCTCTGGAAGCTCGTGCTCGAGCAATTTGACGACGCGCTCGTGAAGATCTTACTGGGCGCGGCCGTCGTGTCGTTTGCCCTGGCTGTGCTCGAGCACGACAGCAGCCGCGACAGTGACGAGGGCATTGGCGCGTTTGTCGAGCCCTTGGTGATTGTCGTGATCCTCGTACTTAACGCGATCGTCGGTGTCTGGCAAGAATCCAATGCTGAAGCTGCGCTCGAAGCGCTCAAGGACCTGCAGCCGGAGAACGCGCGTGTGATGCGCGACGGGGAAATGGTGACGCTCCCGGCTCGCGAACTTGTGCCGGGCGACGTGGTGGAGATCCGCGTGGGCGACAAAGTCCCGGCGGATTTGCGGCTGTTGTCGATGAAGACGACGGCTATTCGGGTCGAGCAGGCGCAGATGACGGGCGAGTCAACGTCCGTGAACAAGGGCATTGACGCCTTGCCAAGTGACACGGAGAACATTATTCAAGCCAAGACCAATATGCTGTTTGCAGCGACGGTCGTGGTGAATGGACTGGGCACGGGTGTTGTGACCCAAGTGGGTATGACGACGGAGATTGGCAAGATCCAGCAGTCGGTGCAAGAAGCGTCGAAGGACGACGAAGGCACGCCGCTGTCGAAGAAACTGGACGAGTTTGGCGAGCTCTTGTCTAAGGTGATTGCCATCATTTGCATTGTCGTGTGGGCGATCAACTACAAGAACTTTTTCGACCCGATTTACGGCTCGGTGTTCAAGGGCTGCATTTACTACTTCAAAATTGCAGTCGCACTTGCCGTGGCGGCGATTCCGGAAGGGCTGCCGGCGGTCATTACGACTTGTCTTGCCCTCGGGACGCGCAAGATGGCCAAGAAGAATGCAATTGTTAGGAAACTGCCGTCGGTCGAGACGTTGGGCTGTACGACGGTCATTTGTTCGGACAAGACGGGCACGCTGACGACTAATGAGATGTCGTGTGTGACGTTCTCTCACCTTGGCAAGTCGGACACGGAGCTCGTGACGTACGACGTTGAGGGACACACGTATGCTCCAGTTGGCAAGATCGAGGGACCGTCGTTGGATCAGTTTAACGCGTTGACTTCGTTGGTGATGGTGTGCTCGTTGTGCAATGAATCGGCCATTGAGTACAACGATGGCAAGTACGTGCGTGTCGGAGAGCCCACTGAAGCTGCGCTCAAGGTTCTTGTCGAGAAGATTGGATTTCCCCATGATGACGTGAAACAGGCCGAGATGCAGTCACTGCGTGCTTCTGCTCCTGAAAAGGCCGCTCAGTTTTGCAATGAGTATGTGGAGCAGCAGAACAAGAAGTTGGCTGTGCTTGAGTTCTCGCGTGACCGCAAGTCGATGTCCGTGCTGTGCACAAAATCCGGTGTGTTGGTGCACCGTGCGACTCGCTCGTCGGCGTCGAACCAGAACATGTTGCTTGTGAAGGGCGCCCCAGAGGGCCTCATTGACCGCTGTACCCACGTCGAGCTAGGAGACGGGAGTGTAAAACCCTTGACCGACGCTGGTCGCCAGGTGCTACTAACAATGGTGTCGAGTCTTGCTCGCAAGTCGCTTCGTTGTCTTGCACTGGCGAAGAAAGATGATCTTGGTGAGTTGGGTGCGTACGATGGCGACCGTCATCACCCTGCACACAAGTTGCTGGAGAAGACCGAAAACTTTGCTGCCATCGAGTCAGGTTTGACTTTTGTTGGTCTCGTCAGCATGCTGGACCCTCCGCGTCCGGAGGTGAGACCTATGATTGAGATCTGTCAGACGGCGGGCATTCGCGTTATCTGCATCACGGGTGACAATAAGCTGACTGCAGAGAGTATTTGCTACAAGATCGGTGTTCTTAAGGAAGGCGACGACCTGTCCACGCGATCGTTTACGGGTGCTGAGTTTTTCTCGCTTCCGATCGAAAGGCGTAATGAGTTCTTGTCTAGTGGCTGTGGTATGGTGTTTTCCCGCACGGAGCCGAAGCACAAGCAGCAGCTTGTTAAGATGTTGAAGCAGTTGGGAGAAGTTACTGCTATGACCGGTGACGGTGTTAATGACGCACCTGCGTTGAAGCAGGCCGACATTGGTATTGCTATGGGCATCACGGGCACGGAGGTTGCAAAGGAGGCTTCGGACATGGTACTTGCAGACGACAACTTTGCTACGATTGTTGCTGCTGTGGAAGAAGGCCGCGCAATTTATAACAACATGCAGGCGTTCATCCGCTACTTGATCTCGTCGAACATCGGTGAGGTGGCTGCGATCTTTTTAACGGCTGCTCTCGGGCTCCCAGAAGGGCTCATCCCGGTCCAATTGTTATGGGTGAACCTCGTGACCGACGGCCCTCCGGCCACGGCTCTGGGCTTCAACCCGCCAGACGCTGACATTATGAAGAAACCGCCTCGCCGCACTGACGATGCTTTGATTACTGGCTGGGTCTTTTTCCGGTACATGGTGGTTGGCATTTACGTGGGTTTTGCTTGCGTTGGCATTTTCGCGTACTGGTACATGTATTACGAAGCTTCCGGTGATGGCCATACCCTGATCACGTATGATCAGTTGACCCATTGGACGAAGTGCCACGAGTGGGAGAATTTCACAGTCAACAACTTTGACGGCATGGACTTCTCGTCGGACCCTTGCCGTTACTTCACGGACGGCAAAAAGACAGCGTCGACGCTTTCGCTCTCCGTGCTGGTGGCTATCGAGATGTTCAACGCTCTCAATGCGCTTTCTGAAGACGGCAGTCTGATTACGATGCCGCCGTGGTCGAACCCGTACCTCATGATTGCGATGGTGATATCGTTTGCCATGCACTTTGTCATTCTGTACGTGGACGTGCTGGCCAACACGTTCAGCGTGATCCCACTCGACCGTAACGAGTGGTTGATGGTGTTGGCTTTCTCGCTGCCAGTGATTCTGATCGACGAGGTGCTCAAGCTCATGGGTCGTCGCATGCATGCACGCGAGCTCAAGCAGCGCCTGGACGATTGGGCGAAGAAAAACCAGTAGACGATGCATGTTGAGACGGCGATCTCGCAACCGACGAAGTTGAGCAAGGACGAAATCGGAGACGGTCCTATTAGAAATTGAAAGACGTGCTTGTTTTTTGTCTTTGGTGCACACCGTAGCAGCGAATGGTCATGCTGTGTTGGTTTCGTGCATTGCAGCCGAACGATCATGTACCTGATCGGGCACCTTACCATACGACGAGTCTGACGTATCTGATGCGCAATGGGAATACGTATCCGCGTCATTTACAGACAGACAAACACGGACACCCACAGATAAGTGCGATTTAAAAGGTCGGCATTTAACCTTACGCAATGCTAAATCTGTCTTAGTTTGCTTTAGTTCTGCCCACTACTTACAACAAGGTCAGTGTCATCGAGAGCATCGACAGTCTTGCATCTTCATTTAGTACCTGACACCTTGAATACTGTTTAGCTTTCTAGGTAACGACTCAGGAGGATCACTCATCGTGTCACACGGCTGGAGTTGACCTGCAAGTGCACCACCAAATTGAGTGGTCGACCTGTACCAATACTACTTGCACTGCTACCATGCTCTTGTGAACTGTCCATTCCAGTCTGTTCATTAACGATGATGCCACACATGCTATTGTATCAGTCCGTGGAGGCTCTTGACGGCCACGCACACTGTCACATCACAATACGAGTAACCAGGAGCCCGTGTAGATGTTGTTAGTCTGCTGACGTCTCATGGCCACTGAAGCACCTTTCTTCTCTTGACACCACAGTTCGATACTGACACTAGCGCAGTAACCGTTTTCTGCTGGTCTTGTCTCCCTTGACGTCATCGTGTGACCATTCATCTCTCCTTTTGGCTTCTATCCTACTATCTTTCAGCTCTGACTGAGGAAGCGACGTTCACTTCCCTCCCATCAATTTATCCTCCTCACACGCGAACTCACTAGTCTGTGCAGCAACTGGACACGTACGAGCATCTCCTTTTACTATCAAGAATTCGATGTCGCTGCACCGTTCTCGTCACCATGTCCCCCCTTACAACGGTGACTTATTCACTCATCTTACCATATCGGGCGAAGATTGCTCGTGCATCGACGATAAATGACTGCGGGCCCATGTGTGAAGAAGCTATTAGTGACCGTGCTCAAGGCGAATATCAAGCTTTCAAAACCTACTTTCTGCACGTTTTTAGCATGTCTATGTGTATCTGCGAATAACGTTAGGTGTCCTTTGCACGTCGCACTAAGTGCGATGTAGTCAATCACCTCCTCCTCATGGGTGGATATCCAATTGAATCGTCACCCTTCGATCAGGTCACTATTTTGTGACCTCCCAGAAACTGTTGTCACACACACACCAATGCCCGTATATGATATTGGCTCAAAAGTGACCAATGGTGAATAGAGGGCCAATAATTACGTGCTCGGCACTATGGGACTGCAAAAATCTTGCAAATGGTAAATCGGAAGGGGTTTCATCCATCATACCTGATGCAGAAAAGCATAGTAAGAATGAACGGTCACTTTGACCTCTCGGTAGCAGGGGGAGCTCTATCAACTTGTTTCCCTCTTTCATTATTCAGTCATATATCGTCAATGGACTGCACTTTGTGGTTGATGGCGTTACCAAGCAGGATCATCGTTTTGCTCATGTTCGTCTTCTTCGAGCATGAACAAAATCAACGAGTAGCTTTAACACACACATTTGATCAGCACTTTCATTGATGAACACATACAGCACAAACCATTTCCTGGTTGCCAAACGCCCAACATAGGTACGTGTATATACGAGGCTTGACTCAGTCCACTGGACTGCGTTACTGATACCAAAAAGGGCGCACTCCGGGGCTTGCTCCCTATCTCAATCTATACATTCGTATCCGGGTCACAATGGTCGCATTCACTTTTAACTTAGTATCAATAATTGGGACATTTTCGGTTACAGTAGGTGAGTGACAGAGTCAACTGACCGGTCAGTTGACACGGGTAGGTGTTGTCTCCTACATCGTTGTCCATGACAGCTTTAGTAGCGGATGAACCAGAAACATGTATGAGTAACCTTAAAAGACGTAATAGAGATGGAGTCGAACGAAGCTGACGTTTACGTGCATCTCGCCCTGCTCAACCGCATGATCAGAGTTTTGTCAGAAAGAGCCACGAGAGCCCGGATCAGTCAAGTCACGTCGTCCACAGGGCGAGCAATTCTTCGTTTAAATATTAGCTCACGAAACTCCGTTAGCGCATACTCGAGGCCATCAAGTGTGCGAAACGAGGTTCCACGCGACGAGTGTTACCATATGGTTTCACCGTAGCTTCCCGCAACCTTCTGCCGTCGTCGCATTGCTATGCACCGATTAGTTTCGACCGTCTCCATCGCAGTCGCCCACTCTAGTGTGGGATGGATCCCCCTCCTCCCCGTCTCCCTGTCGCTCAGGGCAGGCACGCACTGCAAAGTCTCCTGCACGTGGCCAAACCAAATGAGAATCCATCACTTGAGATTTTCAGCCGACGCGCTCGCCTCATACTGAAGAACAGTCACTTTCTTCATGACTCGAAACCGTCGACAAGTCACACATGATCGAAGCGCGAGCCGATCGACCATTGAGACGTCATTGGGAGCAAAAGACTGTAAACTCGACCACGTTGCGGCTCGGTCGAATAGCGTCCGCTCCAATAGCGTCCGCTCGAGCCAGCGCCACCATCGGATGCAGTTCCCTCAAGCAAACGTCGACAAGTCCGTGGTCGACGCGCCTCGATCGGGCAAATTCACGTCGCTCACGTACTTGAGCAAGAAACTGCATCACCTGATCCATCGAAAGCACCGCGACACGATCGCGTGCGACGAGGACGAGGAGCAGCCGGATAACAAGTGCTCGGTTCGTGATCTGTATCGCGTTTGTGAGAGCCGCGCGTTCTCGTCAACGACGAGCGTCGACGACTTGGCGAAAGCCAGCACGGCTGGATCTCCTGTGACGTTGATGCCGAGCACTTTCGTGGCGGCTGGGCACCATAAACCGAGCAAGGAACAGCGCTGGTGCACCAACTGTTCCAAGTGTTTCCAGCGTGGACTGAGTCGCTTCGATCAGTACTGTGGCTTGGACTGCAAGACGGCACATCGGATGCGACAGATTGCGTGACATGATGCGATGCTTGACTCGAATTCAAGTCACAATGCATTTTGGCTCTGTATGACTGACTGACTGACTGACTGGTGAGGTGATTATGGAAAAGGAGAGGTGTGGTCGTGTGCCTGGGACCGAGTGGAAGAGGTCCCAGGCACTTGCTTCATGACGCATTCGAGACGTGTATAATAGGAAAGAGGGAGAGCGTGGATGGGATATAGATAGAAAGAGAGAGAGAGAGAGTGAAATCGATCCACATCTGTATTCACCCAATCCGGAGAGAAGAGGTTGAGTCGGTTTTTGTAAGGTCCGCGATCAGGGCTTCGCGTTTCTAAACACAGATTTCTATGTCGTGAAAACAAACAGGTCCTTTTCAAGGTCCACGTCTTTGACTTTTTTATTACTTACCGAACTGGACCTTTTGGTGTCTTTTTTTTTCCCACGTGGGCGTAGCTGTCGCAGACTTCACCCATTTCTAACCACTTCGACTCGGTCCCTGGGTCGTCACTTTGCCACCGGACCGCCCTTCAGTATCCGAGCCAGCCACATGGTCGCTGCGAACAAGATCGTCGTCTGCGATAACGGCACGGGGGTTCGGCAGTCGTTATCCCCCTTTGCTCCCAATGTCGACCAGTCACTGCGTACTGACGCCTCTCTCTTGTCTGCTGCCCCCTCTCCTCCTCCTCCTTCTTCTCTCTAGTTTGTCAAGGCCGGATTCGCAGCCGAGAACTTCCCCAAAGCCATTTTCCCGTCTCTCGTGGGTCGCCCCGTCTTGCGGGCAGAAGAGGCAGTGCAGTCGGATATTCTGCTTCAAGTACGTTTCGAAAGTCGTGGAGTTTTCCTCTTTTTTGCTGCTTTTTTCTATTTTTCTAGCACCATTTCTGCTTTTTTTCGCTGCGTGAACGGGATCAACCGTACTTACTGTCTGTCTGTCTGTGTATTGTTTTCTTCATGCTGGTTGTAATAGGATATTATGTTTGGGGACGAAGCGGCTGCGTTGCGGTCGAACCTTGAGATCTCGTACCCCGTGGAGAACGGCATTGTGAAGAACTGGGACGACATGGAGAAGCTCTGGGACTATACGTTCAAAGAGCGGCTGGCCATTGACCCCAAGGCTGGCCACCGCATTTTGCTCACGGAGCCGCCGCTCAACCCGAAACGCAATCGGGAGAAGCTCGTCGAGATGATGTTTGAGAAGTACGGCTTTGACGGCTGCAACATCACGACGCAGGCGATGCTGACGCTGTATGCTCAGGGCATTACGACGGGGGTGGTCATTGACACGGGCGACGGAGTTACTCATGTGGTGCCAGTGTTCCAGGGCTACGTGCCCCAGCACCTCATTTGCCGGTTGGACGTTGCTGGTCGCCACATTACCAACTACCTGATCAAGCTCATGCTGCTACGTGGGTACCCTTTGAACCGTACTGCTGATTTTGAAACAGCTCGTCAGATCAAAGAGAAGTGGTGCTACGTGGCGTATGACACGGCTGCAGAGCGCAAGTTGGCGCTGGAGACGACGATTCTAGAGGAGCCGTATGAGCTGCCTGATGGTCGTATCGTGCGACTTGGTCGTGAACGTTTCGAGGCACCGGAGGCTCTGTTTGACCCCAACTTGATCGACGTCGAGGGCGCCGGTCTTAGTGACATGGTGTTTGACATGTGCATGAAGGCTGACATTGACCTGCGCACTGAATTCTTCAAGAACATTGTGCTGTCTGGTGGTTCCAGCATGTACCCGGGTTTGCCAAGCCGCCTAGAAAAGGACATCAAGCAGCGGTACCTCACGGACGTGCTGAAGGGGGACAAAAGCCGTCTGGGCAAGTTTCGTCTACGCATTAACGACCCGCCCCGACGCAAACACCTCGTCTTCCTCGGTGGCAGTGTGCTGGCTGACGTGATGAAGGACAACGACGCTTTCTGGCTTTTGAAGAGCGAGTACGAGGAGCAGGGACTGCGTATTCTGGACAAACTGCAATAACTTTACGAGCATAATGGACACAGCTTTACGTGCATGAGTTTGTAAGGCCCACTAGGTGCTTGATACAACTGGCAAGTCGGTTTCTCACATTCGAATCACTGAAGACGCGTTTGTCGTTCGAGGTGCCCAATGAAGTAGACAACCGTGTTTGATTGAGCCCTTGCAACGGCAGTTTATGTTTGGATGAATGCTAGTTCACCCTGAAGGGTCTCGTGACGGTAGTCGAGCCGAATGTTCGGTACGTTTGACATGCGAATATCTGCGCAAGGAATGACATCGAGAAACAGACAGTACCATGATCAAGAAACAGACAGTACCGTGAGCAAGCAACACTGGAAATAAGCGAGAGAGAGGGAGAGCACTCACCATTGCCACGTGATCCTGGTAGTGTGTACTTGGGGCCGAGGAAATGCTCCTTGAACTTGTGCTCGAAACCCGACTGCAGTACCGAGTTGCGCGCGATCTCACACATGTCCGTGGACGTCAGCTTCCACACCTGCACCGCTACCGAGTACTCTTCAAGTAGCGGATCTTTTGTATAGTGGAGCATGACAGGATCATCGGTGCTTAGCGAGACGTTCAAACCACGCGCGTGATAGATCGGGAACGGATTCCGGTGATAGTCCAGGAACAACCGATTGTTGCTCAGCGGTGACATGGCAATACCGATCTGCGTGAGGTAGTACAGGTACTGCAGGCCGACAGACTTTCGGAGCGTGATGCCGTGATTAATGCCATTAGCTGTGAGGTAAGCAGCAGCCAAGTGTTCGGGATCGCCTGCTTCACCAGAATGCGGTCGCAATGAAAAAATGTTGAGGCCCTTCCTGCGACGAAACTCGTTCAGCGAAGCAATGTTCGCGTACAAGTAGTAGCACCAGTAGTCGTACGGCGGGTTGGCTTCGTTAGTCCACTCGTGCGGCTTTGGTAGCTTTTTACCACGCTCAGCTCGGAAAGGTTCTGCTTTACTCTCATCGTCCACGCTGTCAAAGCCGACCACAGTCTCGAGAAAGTAATGCAGCGGCAGGTTGCTCGACGGATCGCGTGTGACCTCGAACAGCGGCAGGAATATGTGGTCGAGCATTTGCTGAAAATTGTCAACCTCGCCCAGGTTCTTGTACAAAAAGTAGAGTCGTGGAATCTGAATCATCCATCGCACATGTGGAGACGATAGCTTGTTTACGTACATCCATCGACTCAGCTTGTCCCATTCCGATTGTTTCCGTCCGTAGATCGAAATACGCCACTCTACAAGTTGGTATTTACTGGCATGTAGGTCAGAAATGACCTCCTTTGTAATTTCAGCCAAATACTTGCCAGCAATCAGGTTATCCGTCTTTAGAAAAATCTCACGCAATCGACTTTGTCCAGCAGGATTATACTTTAAATTAAACCGATCAAAACGGTGAAACGTATTGCTCGCGTGCATATCCAGCGTGTCAACGCTGAGATCGTAGCCCGTGAGATTGAGCGACCGGAAGACTTCACTCAGCGTCATAAAGCGTCCATCACGAAAAATCACAATCTCCCCGGCGAGTTGCGCAGCCTCGATTTAATAAACCGCAACAAATGCTTTTGGTTCATGCAGGCCGAGTGATGCACGTGCGTGTCAACTTTCCTGACATTGTAAAAATCCCGATGAGGTACTGCTTTCTGTGCCACGAGTTCCCGCTCCGAGTTCAGCAGCATGTGCAAGTTGAACCTCGCTTCCAGCACTTGCAACCGCTTGAACGCCAGCGTCTTCATCGGTCCGTAGTTCACAATGCACTGGATCTCAAACAAGTCATCATAGTATTCTTCCATCGTCCCCACTTGCCTCATTGCTTCGCCAGCGTCCGCGTCGTCATACACCATGACCACACCATTTACCATCTTGACATCGTGCTGCGTAGTCTCTGGCACGGGCGCGTCAAATGGCCGGTACGGCATTTCTTCCCGATGTCGGAATTTACTACTGGCACCGCTTGCATGGGTCCGTGGACTCGACGCAGCAGAAAGGCCATGGTCCGGGGCGTCCATTGATGATGACGAGGGCGTGAGTTCGTTGACCGTGATCCACTTTTTTCGAAGCGCTACGCACTTGCGAATCAATTCACACACGTCTCCTGTCTCGCGATCTTCTTCTTCGTCCGGTGTTGACGTAATCACAACGCGCTGAAACGTCGACAACTGGCCATAGGGTTCGGGGAGCGACAAAAATAAATCGCCTGCATCTGCCTCGTCTTTCACCGCGTCCAAATCGTCCATTGCCGTCTCGGGCAGATGACGTAATCGTTTCTCCCACGCCACTTTTTCTAAAATGCACGCTTTTAAACGCCCGTCGTGCTGCGTGCGCTGACTCCGAACGTCGTCGTCCTCGCCGTCTGCTGCTGCTGCGTTGGCAGCGGCCGCGAGGACGTCCGCGTGCATAGCAAGAGGCGAGAGATCCGGGGTTAGGGGATGTAGACCGTGGAAATGCGTCGCGTCCTCGTGCTCGAGCGCGTGCGTGGGCGGATTATCCATGCGTGAAAGGTGGTCGATTAAATTGGTGTTGGGATTTTATCCAGAGGGTGCGGATCGGATATTTATAGGGGGATACATTCCTGACGACGTGGCTGTGTTGAACCTTGGAAAGAGCATACAACGGCGGTAGGGCATACTCAGATACATTCGGGCGTGCGGGGGATGCAGACGGGGCATCGAGTGGATGATGCCATTCTTCCGTCACATGTCGCACGGCTTTTCGGGTGACGACATAATGCACAGCCGGGGCGTTTTTACATAAAATGGACACGTCTCCGTCCGTTTTATAGGAGAAGGAGGAGTCCCGCGCCCCCTACCCACAAGATGCGATCCTGCAGTTGCTGTAGGGACGCGTGGAACATGGTTGATCGTCTAAAACTGGGTGAAATTGTCATAATCGGCAAGCACTAGACTACTTGTGGCTCGCTTTGCGATGTCGTGCGCACGTGTATCGCGCGTTTGTGCAACGCCCAGGCTGAGTAGTTCAAGTTGGTCGTACTTGCATGCGTCAAAAAGGGCAGTCACACAACGCTTACAACGTAGGTGACGATCGCTTTTGGTCAATTCGCAAGAGGTTCTCTTTTCTCATCTCACAGGACGGGACTTTTACTGTATCCTTACGACGCTAGTACCTTGCCATGACGTTTTACTAACACGTTAAGGGGACGACGCAAGCAAAACGCCGCACTTGTCGTCGTTGAAAAGGAAGTGCATTTGCATTAGCTACGACGATGTCACGTACAAAATACCGATCCAAAAGAGCTCTCTCTGCTCTTTTTTCGCATCAGAGGACGCCATGTTGAAGTGGCTCGGGCTAGGGTCCTGAATATCAGCCGGGGATCCGTTTCCGTACTTAAGCCCCGTCGCATGCCTCATTGTGGAAGTATCCAAACAGCGGCACGAACCCGCGACGCTGTCCGTTGATTGGTCACCACATCGCACGTAAGTCCGGAGAGCCGTCTTTTCGACCTGTGGCTGCGAACTTCCACTTCATTTCCCATTTTACCAGCAGCGACGTCCATCTCCGAGCTTCGTTCTCCACTGTCACCCCTAGCCCCATGTCGACTTTCCAAAGTATACAGAAGCTCCGTCCTGTCGCTCGCACGCGGTCCAATCTCTCGCGCCGCACCGTCTGGACTTCTCAACAAGTAACCACATGAATTGCCTTTGAAGTTACATGTATACATAGAGAGAGATACTTATGTGCGTATCTTGGCTTTCTAACGTCCGATTGTGGTTTGCACTTGTCCTTTTTGCAGTACATTGAGCGAGAAGAGAAGGTCGGCGCCCATAATTACCACCCGCTTCCTGTGGTGTTGAAGAAAGGCCGAGGCTGCAAGGTCTGGGACGTGGAGGGGAAGGAGTACTATGACTTTTTGAGTGCCTACTCGGCTGTGAACCAAGGCCATTGCCACCCCAAGCTGGTCCAGGCTTTGACAGACCAAGCTCAGACGATTACGCTCACGTCTCGTGCCTTTTACAACGATGTGCTGGGCGAGTACCAAGAGTACATGACGACGCTGCTTGGGTTCGACCGCATTTTGCCCATGAACACGGGCGTGGAAGGCGGCGAGACCGCTGTGAAGCTCGCCCGTCGCTGGGCCTACGATGTTAAAGGCGTTGCTGAGAACCAGGCCAGGGTCATTTTTGCCCAAAACAACTTTTGGGGCCGCACGTTGAGTGCCGTGTCCTCGTCGAGTGACAAGAACGCGTACGGCGGCTATGGGCCGTTTATGCCGGGTTTTAGCAGTATTCCGTACAACGATGCTGATGCATTGGAGGAAGTGTTCAAGAAAGATGGCAAGAACATTGCAGCTTTTATGGTGGAGCCAATCCAGGGAGAAGCTGGGGTCGTGGTGCCGCAGGATGGCTACTTGAAGCGTGTGCGCGAGATTTGCACCAAGTACAATGTGCTCTTGATTGCTGATGAGGTGCAAACCGGGTTGGCACGCACGGGGAAGATGCTGGCAGTGGACTATGAAGATGTCAAGCCGGACATTCTCGTGCTTGGCAAGGCTCTTTCGGGTGGGATGTACCCGGTCTCAGCTGTGCTGACAAGTGATGAGATCATGCTCACGATTAAACCTGGTCAGCACGGCTCCACGTATGGTGGTAACCCACTTGGCTGTAAAGTCGCCATGGCGGCCATGGAAGTCATTCAAGAAGAGAAACTTGCGGAGAATGCGTTCAAGCTCGGCAACAAGTTTCGAAGTGAGATGGAAAAGTACGTCGAGTTGACCTGATCATTTGACCTTGGATAGTTGACTGACTTGACCACATGTGTTTGTTTGTACCTGCTGTGCTTGCAGATTCGACTCAAGCGTGCTTCAAGGTGTACGTGGCCGTGGTCTGCTGAACGCGATCATCATCAACGAGCGCCCGAATCAGCCGGACGCCTTGCAGCTTTGCATGAACATGGCCAAGAAGGGGTTGCTGGCTAAGCCGACTCACGGCAACATCATCCGTCTTGCGCCTCCGCTTGTCATCAACGAGCAGCAGCTCGACGAGTGCACGGCGATCATCCAAGAAGTCCTCACGGAAGCGGAGTCGTAGAGACAGCCGACTGTAGACGCACAAACAGGGAGCATCGACAAGGTGTTCACTGCCGAAGCACGTCGCACGAGCAACAGGCCAGTGCAATTCTACGCGTTGAGTGCCGTTTAAATTCCAGCTCAGCGTACGCCGGCGTTGCATCGCGACTTGCTGGACATTGCACAAAAAGCATACTGTTTGCGAAATGACACAAAGCTTTGCTTCTTGCTATTGATACTGCTGCAGCAACACTGTGTGATTATTATGTTATGCCTAGTCAATCTTGCTCAGCATTCAATCGGTCCCGTGGAGGATTCATTTTCTGGATCTTCACCATCGGATCGCGGCGTAGCGTACTGCACAACATGCAACACGAAAAAAAGATGAATCAATCTGAACACGACATGCCAACATGTTCACCGTCAAGAAACCATCATTGTGCACTCGTACCTGAGGTCGTTAGGAGTTACGAAGATAAACTGCTTCTTGCCGTCCTTCTTGGCAGCTTTCACGAGCAATTGGATCGTCATGTCACGGTTCACCGAGTCCATAAATACGTCGAACTCGTCCATCACTCGAAATGGACATTCAATGCTCTCCCCAAGCGCCAGCAGCAGCGACACTTGAGTATAAGACCGCTCGCCACCAGAGAGCTCCTTCATGTCCGTCACTTGCGATGCTCGCGACGCTCCTTTTTCATTATGCAAAACAGCAATTTCGAGCCGCTGATCGTCGTGCCTGAACTTCAGTTTGCCTGCAAAGTTATTCAGGCACATGAACTTGTTAAACTCCATGGACGTCCGATGAGCGATCTCCTTCCGCAGGATCTGCCACACTCGTTTACGTTCCTCCAGCATCGACCGAATGCGCTCGAGGTTATCTCGAAACTTGTCAAAGTTGGTCTTCTTGCTTCGGTACTTAATCGTCTTGGCCTCCATGTCATCCTTTAGCTCCGACAAGTCCATGCCTCGAAACCGACTGCGTTCATGATCAATCTGACGCTTGATATCGGTCAACCGCTTGCCATAATACTCATGCGAGTGTGTGACAGACACTCGTTCACAGTGCTGTTGCGCCTTGTGCTTCTGTTCCTCACATTCTTCTTGCAGTGTTGCTAGCTCGTCTTCCCACTGCACAACCATGTCACGCAGCGTCGATGCCTCCCGCTGATACGTCATCTCCTGTACCTTCATTTCGCTCAGACGTTTGTAAATTGCGTCAGCTTCTTCCTGGTACTCGTTCATTTCAACAGCAATTTCTTTCTCCGCCGCGTCCAATTCCTCAAGGTCATGCAGCTGACCTTCCAAGTCTGGATTTGACCTCGACAGAATCTCATTCAGCTCTTGCTCACGACAACGGAAACCTTCTAACTCCTCCTCAACGCCTCTCACTTCATCTTCCAGCACAGAGGTATCCAAAGTGTGCTGCTGCAGGTCATCAGACAGTTCTTCCTCAAGACTGCGCAATCCTGCACGCTTCTGATTGTGCCGACGCGACAAATAGTCGATGCGATCGTTCTGCTGCTTAATCTGGTGGCGAAGCTCTTCACGATCACGCCGCAGCCGAGACTCATCGCGACGTAAAGCCTCTACATCCCCCTGAAGACGATGAAGCTTCTGTTCTAAGTCCTTGATCTCACCCTCCACATCTTGACAAATGATAGAGCTACGAAGGTGTAGCTTGTTGGCAATGAATGCCAAATTGCCAGAACGGACAATGAACTTGTCGCCGTTCGGAAGGAACACCTCCGACACGAACCGCGCCATTCTGAAGTTACCACTTGAGCCGCTTAACACGCTTTCCTCAGCTATCTGACGGCTGTCGAATAGCAACTTGCTCTCCAAGCTACATACGTCAATGAGAGCGTTAAAAACGTCATCGTTTACCTCGAGAATGTTGCAAATCGCGTGATTCGCAAGGCTCCCTTCTGCTAGACGCAGATTGTCGTAACGACGTCCCGCACGCTGCGAAATAATTATGTTGGCTTTGTTGGGTGGACAGCGAGCCTGGCGCTTCAAATCATCCAACAGCGCCTTGTCTTTACCATTGGTCACCAAGTAACTTCCCAACTGACCCTTCAGTGCGATTTCAATTGAAACGGCAAAATGCATAAACCGTTCGGGGAGCTTCACACTAAGACCCAGCGGACCGATAGGGGGGTGCAGCAAACCGGTGGCGATTCTTGCGTATAAGCTGTTGCAATTGCGGGATTCGGTTGCCGTACACCGCAAGACTATCACGCTTTTGATCTTTCAGCAAATTAATGCGTTGCTGGATCTTGTTCACCTCCATCTCGGCCTCACGCATTTGACGAGCACAAGTATCGTACCGATTTTCCACTTCATCCAGCTCGAGTGGACGGGCCTGAGCACACTCCTTGGCTTTATTGATCTCATGCTCGGACTCCTGCACTTCCCGCCGTGTCATTTCAATACGCTCACGCATTTCATCATTGCGCTGCATGCGGTTACGAAGCATCACCTCGTGGTTCTCGCGCTTTTTCTGCAAGTCGTGTTGCAAACGAGCTAGCCGCTGGTTGGCTCGTTGTTTGGACTGCGTCAGCTGTTTGATTTCTGCCTTGCAGTTGTGCAACGGGCGACGGGCTTCACGGATCTTGTTTTTCACTTCCCCTTTTCGTTGACTGTTGTCGCTCATGCGTGCATTCACTTCTTCAAGCTTGTCATTTTTCTCCTTCTGTTTTTGCTCCAGCTTATCTACCGCTTTCCTCGCCTCTTCATATTCGTCAGCAGCCCGTTCTGCATCGCGCTTTTTTCTCTTCATCTTCTTCTCGACCTTCGCAGCCAGAGCTTCTTTCTCACATACAAAAGACCACGCCAGTTCCTTTTTAAGCACCTCAAACTCGTCCTCAAGCATACCGATCTGCGCACCAAAGTCTCAGAACAATGTTAGAGCTTCACTAACATACAGCCGCTACCTCAAGACAAACCCAAGCTTCTCACACTCTGCGCCTCTTTCCACTGCTTCGTTGCTTCGTCCATCGCGCTCTTCAACGTCGCAATCTTAGCTCGTTCTCGCTTCAACGTCGACTCGGCAATATTCCTCGTCTCTTCGTCAATCTTCGAGTACGTCGTTCTCATTTTGTACAGATCCGTTGACTGGAGGAAAAACTTGTACTTGTCTTGCGAATTGCCCTTCAAAAAAAGCTTGGCATTCTCCTGGTCCAAAATCGCGCATGGATTCTCCGTCTGAATGTTCAAATGGTCCAGCATGGCTTCCAAATCCGTCTTCAGTTTCGACACCAACACTCCCTTCTCGTCTCGTAGTCGGTACTCAGCCGACCCGTCTCGACGAATGAGTCGTTCAACCAGGATTTTGCGCCCAAAGAGCTCAGGACGGAACGCGTCGCTACCCACCGCATCGTTGCGCAAAGTGATCCGCACCAGAGCATTGCCCTCATGTCCATGACGGATCAAGTTCTTGATGCTCTTGCCTCGATGCGTACTCCGAGCACTGGCCCCGAGACAGATTTGAAGGGCAGCAATAATTGCACTTTTGCCGCTACCATTTTCGCCCGTGATGAAATTCGTATGCGGACATAAAGCCACGCGGAGTTTGCGGTGACACATGAAATTCTCGCAGTAAATTTCTTCGACAATACCCATTTCGGACTCAATATGGGCGTCCAATTGGCACAGCGCTGTGGCGGTTTCGACGGGCTCCCGACGTCGTTTACTGCCAACGGACCCATTATTGTTCTTGCGTGGGTGGTCATGGTGAATAGTGTGGGTTTTATTAGCGTCAATCGAAATATTAGCGTCAATCAAAATATTGGTGTCCCGGTGCAAGAGGTCCTTGTGTATGTACTCGACCGTGTCCGACTTCAAAGTGTCCATTTCGTCTTCCGTCTCACTTGTTGTGGACGCCATGGCGGCTTGGCTATTGTCCGAGTCGTAGTGGCGCGTCCTCTGCGTCTTTGTAGCACGCAGTGGACAGCTCATTCGCAAGCAGTTGCGGCGATGAGAAGGAACTGGAATGGCAATGGCAGCGGCAGAGCTGACGTGAGAACGCGCTTCTGCAGCAGCTGCAGTCGGCGAGGTCGCAAACGGTGAGAGGCGGAGGAGCGAGCGCGAAACTTTGAAATTCATGAGCTACAAAATTTGGGAAACAGGCGCACGAGTGGACTGTTCCAGCTGGAAACTTGCGCTTTCGTGGGTCTTGATTCGTCAGTGTGTGTGTGAATGTGAAGGTGAAGGTGCGTCTAAGCATGTGTGTTTTTTACATGCTCGCGGTTTGGGTGAATCAAGTATGAGAGTTTGCATTCTCGACGCCGCCTATTATATTTTGTGTCAGAGGTGGACATTTCGGTCATATTTACACGACGAATAACTAAAATGTCGTCGAAACTGTGACGGTAAACTCGGCAGTACTTGGTTCGTGTCCTTCAAACCAACATGCACGCGAATAGAGCGTAATGCTTTCTTGGATTCCTAAAATGCCAAGCTGCTATAGCAACAGTCGAGAGCAAAGTACCTAATCAGCCTGAGCCAACAGGTTAGAGACCGAGCCAGCCCTGGTCGCTGAAGAAGAAGCCGAGTGTCGAACCTCCGGCGATGCCTAGGAATAGACAAAACACCATTATCGCACCACTCGACTCTCGATCCTCGAGGTTGACGAGCCGAGGGCCAATGCCCATTGTAACAGTCGATAGGAACCCGTTCGACAGCCCAATGAGTAGATTCAGGATCACGTTGTACGTGATGGCAGTCATGTCGTCATGACCGAAGGCATACAAAGAGGTGCCGGCAATACCCATGAGCAAAAGCGGGATGAAAGCCAGACGCAAAATCGATAGGCCAAAGCACCACTGACTGTTCACGAGCTTGTACGCAGCAGAACTGGTGAAGAGACGGCCGAACAAGTCGCCGTAGTTGTATGAGCCGACAATGCCGGGGGCGCAATACCAATTTGCCGTCACGACGTGGGTGACGTCCGAGTATGGAGGCATGAGGTTTCGAGAGGCAGTGCAACCGAAACCGGGGAACACTGACAGCGAGACAAAGAAGACGAAGAATTGAGTCATCGCTGGCATCCAGATGATCGTCGAAATGCGCCATAGGTTGCTCACGGTCTTACGGATACACTGCTGGTGCGTGAGGTTCTTCTCTTGGGTCAAGGCGGCATTGCGCTCCAGCAAGAACTTGACGCTCAGCAGCTTTGTCAACCGGCGGTAGACTATCAGCGCGGCCATGAGAACGACGATGAGGATACCAAAGAAGAGGTAGAACGCCACTTTGGTAGCGTTATTGGCCTGGTGGACGCCACCGACGGCGAGACGCAGTAGGGTAGCAAGTGAGATGTTGAGGATCGCAGCAACCCCGTTGCCGATCTGGACAGCCTGTGAGAACTTGGGAACCGGGAAGAGGGCAGCAATCGTGTAGTAAGTAGCTTCTGAGAGCGAATTGCCAAAGCCAACGCAGCCAAAGCAAATGAGCACGAGGATGCCCCCTGTCTTCGGGTTCGAGAACTCAATGGCACTGAACGCCATGATGAGAAACGTCATGAGGATGAAAATGCCGTAGCCAGCACGTACACGAAACTCCTGCGTCAGCTTCTTGTCAAGTCCCGAAATCATCTGGACACCCTGACCGATGACCATCGGCCACGACGTGCAAAGCGTTGTCAGGAAGGAAAAGTCCAGTCCCGAGTCGGCAAACTCGAGCGCGTAGAAGTCCTGGGCACTTAGACACGAGTAAAAGGCCCAAAGCACCGAGCCGTTGAGGAACATGAGGGAGTAGAAAATCGTGCGTTCGTGCTTGACCATATCGTCCCATACCTCCTCGGGCATGCCATCATGACCGTCTTCGACCCGGTTATCACGCACGAGCTTCTCCGACTTGTCAGAGAACTCCATGCCAACTGATTACAAGAAAACGAGGAAACGTCTTTGCTCGAATTCGTGAGGCTTACCTGGTAAATAGCTGAATACCCGACCATTGCATGTGCAAACTACCGTTTCTAACATTTGTGGAGAAAAATGTGCGCAGCAACACTCTATGCGTGTCTGATACGCTGGAAGAAATCGTGGGAACGTCCTGATCGACAGGCCATATTGCTGACACCTTAGCGACTGATTGTGGCTGTTCGAGCCAAAGTTACTGACGCTTTTTGCTAGTATTTGTGCAAACGGAGACTTGACCAGACGCTTTGGAAGAAATCACGTCCAGCATAACGTACGTGATACTTTACATGCAGAGCTAACTGTACCACGTTTGCAGTTTTTTCTTGTATCTGCTCTACAGACCGAGCCATTCACGGTCACTGACAAGGAAACCAAACGTCGAGCCGGTGGCAATCCCTAAAAACAGGAAAAAGACCATAAGAGCACCACCCGATTCGCGATCCTCAGGTGCCAACATTCGAGGTGCCTCACCCATTGTGACAGTCGAAAGCACACCCGTGGAAATGCCAATGAGCAGATTGAGCACAACGTTATAGACCAACGCACTCATGCTGCCAAACGGGAACGCGTAGAATGACGTGCCAGCCACTCCCATAAGAAGAAGCGGGATAAACGCGATGCGGAGAATTGACAGCCCAAACGCCCATCCCATAGTCACCACGCGATACACTGCTGCTGTGCATACAATGCGTCCGATGAAGTCGCCGTAGTTGTAGCTGGCAATAATCCCGGGGGAGCAGTACCAAGAAGCGGTGAGGTCGTGGGCTTCGTTGTTGAACGGTGGGTACAGGTTCCGCGACGCCGCACAGCCAAATCCAGGGAACACAGCCAGCGACACGAAAAAAATGAGGAACTGCGCGACGGCTGGGATCCAGATGATCGTAAAGATACGACCGAGGTTCTGCAGGGTACGGCCGACCGATTGGCTCGCCAAGTACTCTTCCTTGGCCGAGTTCTCGTTGCGGTCCATGAGGAACTTGACCGATGGTAAAGTCACCAAGTAGCGATACAGCAGAATCGCGCTTATCAAGATGATGACGAGCAGACCAAAGAAGATGTAGAAACTCAGCTTCGTCGAGCTGCTGGTCTGGTTCACGCCTCCCACTGCAAGTCGCAAGACCGTGGCCACCGTGATGTTCAAAATGCCTGCACAGGCGTTGCCAATCTGCACACCGTTTGTGAATTTCTTGACGGGAAAGAGCGCTGCGAACGTGTAAAACGTAGCCTCGGACAGCGAATTGCCAACCCCAATGCACCCAAAGCACACGAGCACGAGGATTCCGCCAGTCTTCTGACTGGAAAAGTCGATAGCACTAAAGACCATGATGAGAATGGCCATGCAAATGTTTATGCAGTAACCAGCGTGGACGCGGAAAGATTGACTAAACTTCTTGTCGAGTCCAAAGACCATTTGGAGCCCGTGGCCAATGATCATTGGCCACGCATTGCACAGAGTCGTCAAGAAGGAAAAGTCGAGGCCGGACGCTGGGAACTCGACTGTGTAAAAGTCTTGAGCACTGAGACACGAGAAATAAGCCCAAAGCACGGATCCATTGAGGAACATGAGCGACAAGTAGATGAAAGTCTCGTGTTGGATCATGTCATCCCAGATCGCAGACGGCAGGCCATCACGCACCGGGTCTGCTACCACGAGTTTCTCAGACTTGCGGGGAGAGTCCATTACGGACTGTAACAAGGCGTGGCGAAATTCCGAAATGATGGCAAATAGGTGGCCATGGAAAGCGGTGGACTTGATCACGCAGAGTGGTACCAGCCAACACTGACTTGGCTGCTGAAAAGTGACGACTGACTGACTGACTGATCGGTTTGTTCTCACTGAAGGAATCCTGTATCACACGGTGCATCTTTCTCGTCAAAGTCTACATATTGTACCGCCTTTCAGTGCCAAAGCCGGTCTACCAGTCATTCTTCCATATGGAGTTCGAGATTGATTCCGACTTCGTTTGTGTCGGTCGACAAAGCTGATACTGTCGCGATGCCGGTGGTATTTTACCGCTCGAGGGCCAAGACCTTCGTATTTTACGAGCTCATGCGTCAAAAGGCCCGTCTCTCGTTTACGCGCAGTCCGTTACAAGAGAGCCGACTTTTGTCCGTCTGGGTCGTACAGACCGGTTCTTTTTGCGTATGCGATAGTTCGCGGGGCCTATAATCTAAAGTGATGGCTGACGGGGTTGACTGGCTATTTGCTCTGACTTAACCAACAGATGTGCTCCCTGTATTTCCCGTCAGTTTACCTCGTCGGATCAAAGTAGTCATGTCTTGAGTACATTGAATAGCATCAGTGCTGACATGCAAGAACGAAAGTGAGCAAGTCGATCACGCGATCCATCAACTGTAAGGTTCTGCCACGTGACATACAAACTTCTGACGGCAGATCTTCTTCCTACTATAGTGCAGAGCACGATCTTGTAAAACTTTGTGTCGGTCAAGTGTGATTTACAATCCATTGGTTGTCGACCTCAGATACGTGGGCCAGAAGAATTCCTCTTCTTTTGTCATTGCATAAGAATCCGGAGGCGTTGTCCGTGCGACCAAACTTACATTTTACCGTTTACTTGACCGTGACACGTGATACAAATAGGCCACGTACACACGTGTGACGTAGTGGTTGCCAATCAAAGTCGCAGTAGTAAAGAGTGACCATCAGCTCAGATAAATGAACAGACTTCCGAGACCGGCCACGACACGACACGTCCCAAGAGTTTAAAATGCAGTGGGGCGTTAGTTTTTGTGCGCACTCACTTCAACGGCTACGTTCTGCCGACGCGGTAGTGCTTGAAATGTGTGACGACGCAGCTTGTAGACTTTGAGGTTATCTTCGCATACTTGAAATCACTCGTTTGATTAAGAGTTATCGGCTAGGCTTTCAGACAATTCGACAGCACGAGTTTATATAGACCACAACACTTTCTTCTGGATGGTACTAGCTTCGTCGCAAAGGTTATGAGCGTCTACTCTAGACCCGTTGGCTCCCGTCTTGGGATCGAGCTTTGTTCCGAGCTAATGAAGCAAGAGACAACGTTGCGCATCCTAAATTCCAGACACGATCTACTCACCCCTCTTATTCTCGCCTACGTGAGAGTGTCATTCAGAATGGTTTGTAGGTTTACACAGACACTTATTCCACACTGGTATGCAGGAAGGCTCTACGCAACAGCACGGCGA